AATTTTTTTAATATTTTTTTTGTTTTTGTATTTGCTAATAGCAGCCACTTCCTAATATTATGTGTGAATACTGTAATATTTTTTTCTTAAATTCAAACTTGAAAAAAAAAAACACACAAAAAACAACAGTCTTTTTTTTTTTTGGTCTGGAAATACAAGACATTGTGAAATTAAACTCAGTTACTAGACGGTGCTACAACAAATACTTTTTTTTATGTCCAGTCTTGTGTTGAGCCAAATGTGTTATTTCTGTAGGGGAGGGTGGGGAGGGAGGGAAGGGGAGTAATCAACGTTTAATTTCTTACTGATGTGGTCTGATTCATTTTCCTATTACATTTCAAACAGTGTGATGTATTTTTTTTTTGTTCTGTTTGTTGTTAGGCACATAACAATAATTTTGTATAACATTACATAATTGTTGTTTTTTTTTGTATCAGAAGCAACAGCAACAATAAAATTATTTTGGGTAAAAATACCCTTTTTATATCTGTTTAAATTGCCAAATATAAGCAGTGTGCGTTCATGAAATACTCTTTACCTGCCTGTGTGACATTGAATGAGGGCGCAAGAGAGAGGTCCATGTGTCAGACCTATGTTGTTGTCTGTGAATTAGGAAGGAATAAGAGATTATCAACTGTAAAGGTTTATATTATCAGTACCCGTAGTCTGTGCTGCTCTTTGAAGCAAAATGGGTACAAGAATGCATTTATGGCTATAATATCAACAGCTCACACTATATAAACCTGGCTTAAACAGAGGGCTGTTGGAATAATCATAGCCAAAAGCAAATGGTTTTGAGATCGTTTGTAAAAGGGACTTTAAAAGCACTGCAGTCTATGTATTTATAGTTGTTGTTATAGTGCCTGGAGTCTGTTAGCATTGATCATCCGGTTAGAGTTAAACAGTTTTTAATAGTTTAATGATAGAAAGGAGCCCTAATCCCTTCACTGCTGCTTGAGCTAAATAAACAACCATTATCCTGAGCAGAAATTAGAGGCCATGTTAGACTGAAGGTGATTACGTTCAGTGTCATAGCCTTCTATGCTGGTATGTATTGGTATGGCTAGAATGAATTGTGTAAGCTCTGCCTTAGCCATAACTCCAGTAAGCGCTGGGATATAGAAGGCCAGGGACACTCATTAATTGTTAAACTGCTCGAAAATGGATTAAGACTTAATGTAGGAACACTGCCAGGGGACTCCATTCACTATAACCGATTCAATGAGATGAAATGGTTTTAGTACCTACAGTATCTCTTTAAGTATGCGTTGTCAGATGTTGTCAGATCTATACATGATGGGAAGATGGTCCGTAGATATTTTATGAGAATAAGATAATAAAGAAAATGTATCTGTTCTTAAGTTCATGTCGTGTAATTCTATGTGTTTAAAACCAGGATCTAGAGAACCTAGCAAGTTTGTTTCTTTATTCAGTCTATCTTACAAGGTGTAGTACAGATACTTTCCTAAGAGAGTTCCCCATAAAGTAATGTAGCTGTAGACTTTTTTTTAAAAAACTTGTTAACTATATAATGCTCCTCTACTTGCTAATTTGGCTCTTCATTCTTAGTGTTTATCATTCTGATCAATGTCCAGAAACTCATGTTAACTCAAAGAAAGACAATAACGTTAGGAATACAAATATGTTTTCCTAACGCTATTGTGTCCTAGTCACCATTTAGGTAACTAGACCAGCTCTGCAGAATGGTAATGTTTTCAACTACAGGGTTAAGAGGGGAAGGGGGCACATGGCACAAAGACCACTTCATTGTGTTCCTGTTACTACTTGTACAAGATTACATAGCATCAAATTTATATTTATGGACTTTGGACATTTTCAAAATAACATCTCTTTGCTCTGAAGGTCTAAATCAAAAGCATGAATGTCCAGTCAATATATAAGGAGATGCACTTATTCCTGTATCAATATTTAACATACACAGAGACTTCTTCTAAAAAAAAAAATATCTTGCCCACATACCCGACTGGTAATCACTTTGTTTCTGTTTATGCAGCCCTAGCCACACCTCCCCTGGCTATGATTGACAGAGACTGCATGAAAAAAAAAACCTGGTTTCACTTTCAAACAGATGTAATTTACCTTAAATAATTGTATCTCAATCTCTAAATTGAACTTTAATCACATACAGGAGGCTCTTGCAGGGTCTAGCAAGCTATTAACATGGCAGGGGATAAGAAAATCTTAATTAAACAGAACTTGCAATAAAGAAAGCCTAAATAGGGCTCTCTTTACAGGAAGTGTTTATGGAAGGCTGTGCAAGTCACATGCAGGGAGGTGTGACTAGGGTTCATAAACAAAGGGATTTAACTCCTAAATGGCAGAGGATTGAGCAGTGAGCCTGCAGGGGCATGTTCTATACACCAAAACTGCTTCATTTTTTTTTTCATTCATAAATTAACCTGGTTACACCTCACCCCCACCCCATCTGTCAATCAGACAACATATTCTGTTACTTCCTCTTTGTTTAGCTCAGTGGAACTAATCTCAAAAGGCATCAGTTGCTCAGAGCACTTGCCTTACTTCTCATTGAGCTGCATTGGGAAGTCTGTGATTTGACAGCTGCAGAAATTCGGGCGGGGTTTGAAGGGGAGGGCTTGCAAAGGCTGCAGGGGGGTCTCGAGGTTTCTAGTTAAGCCTCTGGCTACTTCCACAACATTTTATATTGGTGCTGTGCTAGCCAAAGACTCTTACAAACAGAACAAATCTTTTTCACGTATATAAACTTTGCACATAGTGTCAGACTGATGTTTAGTCCAGGTAGTTCAAGTTGGCTATATAACATAGACCACTAATTTCAAATAATGTCACAGATTTTCCATGGAATTGTCAGTACTTTGATTAAGACAGTTTAGAACTTTGGTGTTCAAAATGTATATTCTCTAAGATGATCTAAGACTACAAATTCTCTTACTTATTGCCATTCTCAAGGCAAATCATCATGATATTTAAAGTTCTACATCGTCTAAGAACGTGCTCTTTGGGCACCCCTTGTTTCAGAGCAGTATGTGTAATATTGACTCTCTCTAGTGCTGCTTTATGCCGGGTGACTAAGATCATATTTTAACAACCCTATTAAAAACAGAAAAAAAGTTGGTATTTTACCCAATAATCCTCTAGGCAGTGTTTCTTTAAAAAAAAAGCCTAATGTTTACTAAATGGCAAGTTCTTGCCATGAACTGGAAACATATGCAGTCTGTGTAGGCTCAGCTCCCGTACCTCCTGCTGTCAGTGCTACACCAATAGTATTCCCATTCTAAGCTTCCATTTCTTAATTTGACCAAAGCAAGCTCTCTTGCATTATTTCCAAACATTTTGTTCCATCCAAATTTTCTTTAATTATAACAAGATGTACAATAGAGGTTGACAAAATCCATCCACAAAACAGGACATTTCTACCACCAAACATCACTATGTGCTTTTAGATGGTCCTTTTGAATTTCAATTTCCTGCTACGGATGTGCATGAGCAAAACATTTGGTTCAGTTCGGAAATTCGGGTAAGTAATAAGATTTGTCACTCCGGCAATTTGGTTTGCACTTCCGAAATTCATAACTTTGGCAATTCGGAAAATCTGTAGGTCTCCCTAACCCTGCCCTACCCCTAATTTTCCCTTCATCTCTTGTTTTGCCACTTTTCAGAAATCCAAAGCACTTCTGAAATTTGGCACTTCGGCAATTCGGTTCGGTACTTCCAAAATTCGGTAATTAGGCACTTTGATACTTCAGACATTCGGAAGCATCCAAATTGCCCGAAATTCGACCGAATTCACATTCGGACCAAAACGAATTGCACGTGTCTAATTCCTGCTTGTTAACATTTCATATAAATGTTTTCCGGAACTTAAGATATAGTCTACAAATGTAAAAATTACCCCATTCGCACTCTCTCAACTGTCTTTTGCCTGTGGGTTTTCACGCAAGTTCAAAAATTACTGTAGGACGTAGCAGTGGACTTCTCTTGACAATATCTGGATGGTGTGATGCAACAACCACATCTGGATTACTGAACCAATTGTATGGTATCCAAAAATGTTGATATAATCTTGTCCCTTATTCATTATACATTCCTAATTTCTTGTTTATGCAAAGAGACTCACCAATGATACTTTAAGGGGATTAGTATCCTGATAATGTGTCAGGTACTTTAATCATTTACAGTTAAAAGGCCTATTCCAAGGTAATTGTGTTCTCATTCATAAAAATTGTATCATGGTTAAATTAGAATGAAATGTGTTGCTTACTTATATATTGAAACTGTTTTAGGAATTTTTTAAAACATTTTTTTTTTAGCAAGTGAGCAATATTACCTTGAGTTTTAGCATGTAAAATTAGGATATGTCATCTTTTATTTCGCATTTATATGGACAAACCAGGAGGATTACCAGGAGGATTACCCTTACAAAATACTGACTGATAATATTAGTTAACAAGGACAGAATTAATGAGACATATTTTGGTGGACAGGACAATTAGTTGTTTGGCATACATATCCCCTCTTTTTTGAGCTCTCCTTTTGTTGAAGTACAACCTACATTCAAAACATATTTAACTGCATTTTTATTTTTAAAATTTACATAATATCCTTCAAAGTTCAAGGGTAGCAGCAGATATGACAAAACCAATCGATGTTATTAATATAAATAAGCTTTACTGAGATTCACAATCTACTTATCAAGGAAATAGACAGTAAGAAAAGCAGACACAGAGCCTCGTATTCATAGACTTCATCACAAATAAAAAAGAGAAGACATTCCCCTTGTCACAAAGAAATACAATAGTCTAACATAAATCTGTTGTAGGCAGGTGCCTTCATTGTTGGAAGTGCACCATAAAATGTTAGTACTGAAGTTTGTTGAAAGGCAAAAGTAACTACTTCATTAAATGCTGATGAGTCCCAAAATAATAAAACTACACTGTCCATAGTTGATCCTTGGTCCATTAGTAAACCATGTTTTGGTATTAAAAGCTATATTGTAACTCGTTGTGTCATTGCAAATTGACCGTGAGAAATGCACGATGGCATTTGAACATGTGATTAATGTCAACGTTCATTTGCATATTCAGCACAGCATTTTGGGACAATTGGAAAAATACAGTTTTTCTGAGGGCTTTTTATTTTAAGTTTTAAGTTTATTTTAAGTTATTTAAGTTTGCCTTACGGCATGAAGCTGAGGTACTACAGTAGACATGAAATTATTAAAATCAGTAGGGAATTTGTATTACATTTCGATCTCCCTAAAGTTTTAATTATATGCATATGCAGTCATGGGGAAAAAGAAAGTAAACCCTATTTGAATTTTATGGCTTGACATATCAGGATATCACAATAAACACCTGTTCCTTAGCAGGTCTTAAAATTAGATAAATACCATCTCACATGAACAACAACACATGACATATTATACCGTGTCATGATTTATTTAACAAAAATATATCCAAAATGGAGAAGCCATGTGTGGAAAACAAAGTACTCCCTAACTGATTCCATAGGAATTAAGAGGCTAATGAGCAGGCAGGTGCTGCTAATCAAATGCCCTTGATTAATTGATCATCAACAAGTGTGACCACCTCTAAAAGCAGCAGTTTTAACAGTTTGTTGGTCTGGAGCTAATACATGCCTAAGAGGAAATACATCAGCAATTATCTTAGAGAAGCAATTGTTGCTGCCAATCAACCTGGAAAGGGTTATCAGGCCATTTGCAAACAATTTAAAGTCTATCTTTCTACAGTCAGAAAGGTTATCCAAAAACAGAAAACATTCAAGACCGTTGCCAATCTTCCCTGGAGTGGACATCCCAGCAAATTCATATCAAGGTCAGACCATGCAATACTCAGAGAAATTGCAAAACTCCCAACATCTCAGACTCTACAGAAAAAAGACTGAACAAGTATGGTTTGTTTGCAAGGTTTGCTAGGAGAAAGCTTTTTCTCTCTAAAAAAAAATAAAAATGGCAGCATGGCTTAGGTTTGCAAAGATGCATCTAAACAAGCCACAAAAATTTTGGAACAATGTCCTTTGGACAGACGAGACCAGAGTGGAGATGTTTGTCCATAATGCACAGAGCCACGTTTGGCCAAAACCAAACACAGCATAGCAATACAAACACCTCATACCAACTGTCAAGCACGGTGGTGGAGGGGTGATGATTTGGACTTGCTTTGCAGCCATAGGACCTGGGAACCTTGTAGTCATTGGGTAGATCATGAACTCCTCTGTATACCAAAGTATTCTAGAATCAAATGTGAGGCCATCTGTTCAACAGCTAAACTTTGTCTGAAATTGGGTTATGCAACAGGACAATGATATCAAACACACCAGCAAATCTGCAACAGAATGTCTGAAAAAGAAAAGAAAAAAGGTATTGCAATGGCCCAGTCAACGTCCAGACAATTGAAATGCTGTGGCGGGACCTTAAGAGAGTTGTGTATAAACAAATACCAGCAAACCTCAATGAACTGAAGCAACGTTGTAAAGAAGAGTGGGACACAATTCATTCTCAACGATGTTAGATACCGATAAAGTCATTCAGAAATCAGTTATTCAAGTTCTTGCTCCTAAAGGTGGTTCTACATTCTATTGAATCATAAAGTGTACTTAGTTTTTCACACATGGCTTCTCCATTTTGGCTTTATTTTTGTTCAGTGAATCATCACACGGTGTAATATGTCACGTGTTGTTGTTTACCTGAAGTTGTATTTGCCTACTTTTAATACCTGCTAAGGAACAGATGATTTTTATTGTGTCCTGATATGTAAAACCATAGAATTCATATAAAGTGTACTTTCGTTTCCCCATGATGTCTCCAGGTCACCTATTTTGGCATTCAATTTCCAATTTGTTGGTGAATTTTCAACAATTCATAGTTAAATCATACCTCCCAACATTGTGAGGTATATAATAAGGAAGGGGGTGCAGACCTTCTAGGGGGCATTGTCAGTGACGCCACTTGCGTCACTGACAACACCAACATCAGGTCGGTGTCAGGTCGGCTCAGGAAGTGGGCGTGTTTGCCTGCCTAAGGAGGTGTCATGCATGCTCGGTTGGCCTCCTATTTGCTGCTGAAGTACTCTCCACATAGTCTTAGTACTCGTTTCACAGGGCTAGTGTGTCAAATGATGCATTCATACAGTTCCCTGGTGTCCCCAGATGTGGTCTCCGGATGTTGTCCACCAGGGAACTAAATTGGGCCATTGGGACAGTACCCTGAAATCAGGAATGTGCTGCCAAAAGAGGGACTGTTGGGAGCCCTGTTTAACCCGTTAAGGACCAAACTTCTGGAATAAAAGGGAATAATGACATGTATGACATGTCATGTGTCCTTAACGGGTTAAATTAAAACCCTGTAATATCCCTTACAGTAAACTGAAAACAATATTAATTCAGGCTAGAATAGACAAGTTTTGCCTATAAACGTAGAGATTTTTTTTCCCTTCAGCGATTGTTTACCAAATTTTGCAACTGGCCTTTCAATGTTCTACCATTAAAGGAATTGCTTGTAGTTTTCAGTATCTGAATTGGCCTTTCAAGTAACGATGCTTATTTTAAATTTTGTGTTAATCTTGTTTCAGAAACATCTAGTCACTGCTTCCCTGAGACCACTGTAAGTTTTATAGTAATTTGTCCACAACAGACTTTGGTCAGATTTAAGAATAGAAGGTTAAGACACTTCGGTGATTTCCCCGAATTAACAGAACCGGCGGCAGATCTTTGGATAGGGTTTCCAGCCAGGCCATATATAAAGCATTCGAAACAGCTCCTTTCCTCGCAACCGGCATCGTTCTGCAAGTCGAGATCAGGAGGAAGCAGAAAACAGAGTAAGAATGTTGACACTGCAAAGCTAGCTGTAGTGCTGTTTGATCAGTAAATGCAGTTACAATGGAAAACATTCTCAGAGTTATTCACCAAGGAGAGAATTGAAAGTGAATTCCAAATTTCAGGCCAAAATGGAAAAATCCTCAGTAAGCTATGCGTCCAGTTGAACCTCTAAGTCCTCAAATTTGAAATTCACTTTGAATTCTCACTTTGTATTTTTAAATAGAAAATTGCAGGAGCTAACCAGTAAGTTCAAGTTCCCATGGTTTAATCAGATATAAAAGATGTTTTAGCAAATATGCACCAAAAATTCAGACCTAAGTAATTCAGCCAGCAAGTGTACAGCTTAACGTACATACTGCCTCCATTGTATACAATTATTTATCACCTTTAATAAATGTTTTTTTATGGAGCTACTTTTATCATTATATCAATGCTTTACCTGTGTATCTGTTGACATAAATACGCTAACTAGATATCAGGAATAGAACATCTCTCATGATGCTTTGCTGGCTTTATGGTTATAATAGCATTATGGGAAATGTAGTCCACAAGAGCTGTAGTGTCAAAGGTTGCCTACACCTGCTTTATAATATCCCTGTCTGGATAGACAATCTGTAAAGATGGCATAAAATCTAGGAAACTAGTTTGACTGAAGTACACAGTGAACCCCTACTAAAAGAGTAAAAATGGAAATAAGCAAGTCCCTAAAAAATGATAAGGAACGTTTATTGAAAATGGGACAAAAGTCCAGATTTGGTGCCTGTGTGCACTTTTGCCTGTGTGTGCCTTCGATGCCAAAACTCGCGTCGGGTAGCTTAGTTCTTTTTAATTGTTCATGGTGAGTGTGATTTGTCTGTAGGAGACTCTAGCTATAATCCGATTTTTTGGGGATGTGTAATTGCAAAGCTACATTTGACTCTTTCTAGCCATTAATAGTAGAGCCTTGAGTAATGCAAGGTAAATAAGTGGTTAAGTACTGGTAGCACTCTCAGATACACCCTCATATCGGAGATCCAGCCAGTGGTATTTGGAGGCTATATGCTTTACAATATATCCTTTCAGCATTAGGCATAGGTTATTCTTTACAAATAAATTATGTTCTTTTTTCATTAGTTAGTTGTGAATTTTTTTTTCATTTTTTTTAAATCTCCTGGGTTTATGTAGTCATACGTATTATACCTAATCACTACTACTGTTAGTGCTACAGACACTCTATTGATTCATACTTACCTCAAGTATCATTATATCAAGACAGACTAATATTTTGACTCTCAGTAAGAATCTACACTAATTTAGTAGCATTTATTTTAACAGTCCTCTTTGTTATTTTTCTAAAGATCAATTGTGGTTTATTTTGCCGGGTAATTTATCTTTGGGGGATTATAAACATATGCCCTCCCTATATTCACTCCACAGACTGGGATCTAGTTATGAAACTCTGTATGTATAGAAACAAAGAATGTGAATGCAGATAAGAACCATTCGGCCCATCTAGTCTGCCCAATTTTCTAAATACTTTCATTAGTCCCTGGCCTTATCTTATAGTTAGGATAGCCTTATGCCTATCCCACGCATGCTTAAACTCCTTTACTGTGTTAACCTCTACCACTTCTGCTTGAAGGCTATTCCATGCATCCACTACCCTCTAAGTAAAGTAATACTTCCTGATATTATTTTTAAACCTTTGTCCCTCTAATTTAAGGCTATGCCCTCTTGTTGTGGTAGTTTTTCTTCTTTTAAATATAGTCTCCTCCTTTACTCTGTTGATTCCCTTTATATATTTAAATGTTTATATATATATATATATATATATATATTTTCTTTTGTTAGGTGATGGGTTTATTATAATTTTTTATGGATTATTTTAATCCTTAAAATACTTCTGATTTCAATAAATGTTTTGTCCAATTTTGAATAAACTTTCCTTATTATTATTTTTTTAGTGACTTGCTCATTTGCATTTTTTCTCTTTTAGTAGGGGTTCTTTGGTATTAGTTATTCTGCTCTGTGGGTTATACCCTTGCAAGCTCCCCAACACAAATTATTGATCCTCTATTCTATAGGGATCAATTTATACGTTATTTTTGAAGTACGCAGGGTATAAGAATTTCATTACAATGATCAATTTAATGAATTGTGTTTGTAATCCTTAGGTATATCATTTTTCAAATATAAACTTTTTTTTTCTAATTATCATGGATATTCAATGATACATTTCGCATTTGTCATATCTTGCACTCACATATAGGGTTTGGTTTTCATTTATTTATATAATTTAAAAAAAAACATTATTTATACAAACTCAAGGAGGTGTGGAGGGCACACTGTTATTTTATCCAACTAGTCACCGACATAAAAATCCTTCACATTTTGATCAATCAGAACCAACATTACCCAGATAAAAAAAAAAAAAACACACACAGAAAAAAAAAGTCCTACTGTTTAGTTACATGGACAGAAAGTTGGGTTAGTTGGCTGTCTTACCATTAAAATCTTCAATTCCCCACATAATAATTTAATAGGTTCTTATTAGAGGAAATTGCACAAAGCACTTCAACATGGATGCAGTCTTAAAAACCCACTGTGGGTCTTCAATTACTCAGAACAATACACGAATGCCCCCCAGCGTTTCAAATAGACAAAGAGGAACACTTTAATTTTATGGGTGTGGCCAGGGCTGTTCTAAGAAATCTTAGGTGACACCATACAAATTTATGGTGCTAAAATGGAATTTAGAACAAAAACAATGTATCTTATTTACACAGACTGATTTCTAAACACATTTATTGTAGTTTAAACACACTTTACTGTGAGTATTATTGCTGTGGAGCTCTGTTATACACTCAGACACATTACTGGTAGTATTATTGCTGTGGAGCTCTGTTATACACTCAGACACATTACTGGCAGTATTATTGTTGTGGAGCTCTGTTATACACTCAGACACATTACTGGGAGTATTATTGCTGTGGAGCTCTGTTATACACTCAGACACATTACTGGGAGTATTATTGCTGTGGAGCTCTGTTATACACTCAGACACATTACTGGGAGTATTATTGCTGTGGAGCTCTGTTATACACTCAGACACATTACTGGGAGTATTATTGCTGTGGAGCTCTGTTATACACTCAGACACATTACTGGGAGTATTATTGCTGTGGAGCTCTGTTATACACTCAGACACATTACTGGGAGTATTATTGCTGTGGAGCTCTGTTATACACTCAGACACATTACTGGGAGTATTATTGCTGTGGAGCTCTGTTATACACTCAGACACATTACTGGGAGTATTATTGCTGTGGAGCTCTGTTATACACTCAGACACATTACTGGGAGTATTATTGCTGTGGAGCTCTGTTATACACTCAGACACATTACTGGGAGTATTATTGCTGTAGAGCTCTGTTATACACTCAGACACATTACTGGGAGTATTATTGCTGTGGAGCTCTGTTATACACGCAGACACATTACTGGGAGTATTATTGCTGTGGAGCTCTGTTATACACGCAGACACATTACTGGGAGTATTATTGCTGTAGAGCTCTGTTATACACCCAGACACACCAACAATATGGAGCTCCTAGAAAAGAACGACATTTGGATTGAAAACAGGGACAGAGGAACTTGGGCCCAAAATAGGGACTGTCCCTCCTAAACAGTGACACTTGGGATGTATGATATATGTTAATTAGTCAAATCATTAGTCAAGACAACAAAAGGAATATTTTATAACAGTACTTACACAACTATAAGGTTTGCAGACGCGGAGTGCTCCTGTAGCAGTTCATTGAGACGGATCTGACGCAGTGTCTGAACGAAATAATAATCAATGATCATATCCAACATTAAAACAGGAAAACAAACACCTTACTTCATACACATCCATCATGTATTACAGAGAGTGATATCACATCATGCATTAAAAATATATAAAATCCATATCACCTGTTACTTTGTGTAAGGAATACATTTCATTTATCAATAAACTTATGATTATTCTGCATATCTAAAAAAAATTTGGGGGCCATATATTATCCCATGCTGTTCGATATAGCTCTGGAATAACATAAAATATCCTGCTTTTGTAGACAATCAATACCACCCTAATAACGGTATTCATCTTATGTAGGTAGACTCTTTTTGGGTTATACTTTGAGAATGAGACAGGAAAGAGAAGGAAGGAACTGTACTGTTTGATCCCAGTCAGTAGATGACACCAGAGACCACAAAATACAAAATTGTGAATTAAATTGTGTATTAAAGGGTAATAAAAGCACCATGACTACTTCAGGCATTTGAAGTGGTCATGGTGCCTGGAACCTGTGAATTAGCCCCTCTACTGCTGGAGGTGTGACTCTACCACTGGCCACATTATTGGAGCGTCATGAGTCGGCTCTGAAAAAGAATTCTGGGCTGGTTAATATCAATTCTGTGTATTCATGTCGATGTATGGATGCTCATTGTTTGGCTGTGAGCGGCAAAATTGGCATCTGGCTTCTACAGGTCTGCAGGAGCAAATGTCATAAATCCTCCTACAAAGAACATCAGGAGCCTGGTGGAACCCATTAGAAAATGGTTTGCTTCATTTCCAGGGAATGAGACCAGGGTGCTCCTAGCATTGTTACACTACAGTGGATTGCAGTGGGTATGTTGTCAGGACAGGAGTAACACTTGAAGTATAGGTAGGGACACCAGCTTCCTAATCATGGAAATAATCTGTCCCAGCTATCATACATAGATGAAAGTAAAGAGTTTTCAACTTTAGTCTGTTCTGCTTTATACTATAAAAGTTCATACTATGAAGAGTACCTGATCATTAAAGTGACCACGTGAAAAAGTTGCTATTTTAGTTAGTTAATGCTTTTTCGTGTGGTCACTTTAATCATCAAGAATTCTTCATGGTAGTGATGTTCTTTTAGCTATTACAGCTTGTCAAATTGTAAACACGCAAAGAGTTTAGCTCGGATTCTGATACCATACAAATATGCTCAAAGTAGAGGCATTTTATTTATCAGAAATCAATCGTGTAACTCTGTGCTTAAAGGCACGTTCTAAGCACCAACTCAGAGTTTGAATTCACTTTACTTAATCTGCACAAAAATGTGAACATGCAAAAATTACAGCATTTGAATTAGGCCAAAACGATCAAATGCGTTAAAGTTGTTATGGTTCCCAAAGTGTCCTATTATATATATACTTTGTGCGAATGTCCGTCGTACACTGATTAGGGTTTTCTTTAGAGCCACCTTGAAGCTGGAACATAAGAGCACAGATCAAAACCCACCGGGTCATTACTGCTGGTTTATTTTAATCTTACTAATGGCACAAGTGAGGAAAAACATTTTTGAGACCAGAGCAGGGATTTACCAAAGGGAAAGTTAGAATTTCTCTAACCTATTGCCTGTTCTCAGAGTTCTAATATCCTCACTCTGTGTTGTAATGATTAACTTGACTCTCCCCAAGCTAACAAGATAATTCATACATGAACCCTGTGCTCACTGTGCCTAGAGGGGTATCAGCTACACCTTCCTGTCGAGGCCCAAAGAAGGACAAAATCATCGTCCGGGGTTGCTGTATCAATCGTGCAGAGAGAACTTGCCAGTATTTTGGTTCTGCAATGCCCTGATGGGTGAGATAAGTCTGATATGCTAATGGTTGAGGTTTACTCTGTAATGGCACAAGTCAGCTAAAACGAAGGGCCAGTTACTGAGTTTCTAGAAACATAGAATGTGACGGCAGATAAGAACCATTCGGCCCATCTAGTCTGCCCAATTTTCTAAATACTTTCATTATTCCCTGGCCTTATCTTATAGTTAGGATAGCCTTATGCCTATCCCACGCATGCTTAAACTCCTTTACTGTGTTAACCTCTACCACTTCAGCTGGAAGGCTATTCCATGCATCCACTACCCTCTCAGTAAAGTAATACTTCCTGGTATTATTTTTAAACCTTTGCCCCTCTAATTTAAGACTATGTCCTCTCTTTTTCTTATTTTTCTCTAAGCTTTTCCCCAGTTCTCAGAGTTCTCATATTCTCTGTTACTAGAAGAAAAATATGCTTCTGGTTCTTTTCCTTTTTCAATACTAGGAGCCAGAGAACATCTGTGGAATCTGTGGAGTCCTGGATTTTGACAAATCACTTAAAAACAGTTTGACCCAGTACTGACGATTGCTGCCCACAGTCTACTAGCACAAAAACCAATACAACGTATCCTTTAACCACCCTTTGTGTGCAGTGTTTAGCTTGTGTGGCTGCTGCCCTCTGCTCACTTCTAATACGGTTTCATTAAAACGACAACCAAGTTGCAGACGGTCATGGCAACCTATACTATTGTCTATCGCATGCTCAAACGCTGCATAGTAATCAGCCCAAAAAGCATTGTTGTGTTGTCCTTTTAACAATATATTCTGTGCCCCTTTTAACGATATATTGTGTAGTACTTTGTAATATAGCCTGTATAGTCTGAGAATTGTACACTGATTATGTGTTCTCTAGGGCCATCTAGTGGCTGGAACTAAATAGCACACATCAAAAACCTTCAGGAAATTTTTGCAGTTAATTTTAAAGGGACTCTCCAGGCAGAAGATTTTACTCACCTGGTTCCAGTGCCGGGAGCCTCGTGAAGCCGCGCCCCCTATTTCGTCAAAATGATGAAATAGGCGGGTGTGAGCAGGGAGCAATCAGACGCTTCCATTTGGAAGCGTCATTGCTCCCTTGTGCGGATGCGCGGCTTCGCCGCACATGCGCACATACTTCAGAGGGCGGCATTGATGCCGCCCTCTGAAGTCCTGAGCACACTACCGCGCATGCGCGTGGTGTGCGCGGCCGCGAGCTGAGCTGACTGACAGCTCAGCTCGCGGTCTTTGCCCGCCCCCTCTCCTCTGCTGACAGATAGAAGAGAGAAGGTGCGCACACAGTGTCTTCTCTCTCCTGCACACGTCAGACGTATTTTAATAGTCTGATGTGTACAAGGCCTTTTTAGGGCCCTACATGATAGGAAGTCCCTCTGGTGGCTGTCTGAGTGACGGCCACTGGAGGTATTCCTATCAATCAATTATTTTCTCTGAAAATACAGTGTTTGCATTAGATTGCCTGCAGGGAGCTATAGATCATACCTGAACAACTACATTAAGCTGTAGTTGTTCAGGTGACTATAGTGTCCCTTTAATCTTACTATTGGAAACAATGTCAATTTGTTGGGTTTATTGAACCTTCTGTTTCTTACTTTTTTTTTCTTACTATTTTAATATCAGTGCAGCTTGTCACTACTAAGTTCTGACCACTCTGTAAATGTAGTGGCTGCACAGAATTGGATGGGATGCAACCCTAACACCTAATAGCAGGTTCTCCAACAAAGTGAAAGCCTTGTGACAAGATGCATTGACACAGAACTGTTACTACTCTAATATGAATACCACCAAAGTTATGGAGGAACAGACAGCTGTCTTCTGATATGGAGCTGTACTGCAACTACCAGAGGTGTCAGTCACTCAGGATCGGACATGAAAACTTATACATCTGCAAAATTAACATTAAAGGAACACTATAGGGTCAGGAACACAAACATGTATTCCTTACCCTCTTGTGTTAAAACCACCATCAAGTCCCCTGGCCCTCAGTTGACTCCCTAAATATAGCAAAATCTTACTTATTCCAGTTGCTGCTGCTGGCTCTGCCCCTGATCCGCCTGCTTGTCTGGCATCATCAGAAGTGTTATTCAAAGCCAGTCACAATGCTTTCACAAAAAGGAAAGCATTGGATTGGCTGAGCTTGTCAGGGAGGCAGATCAAATGCAGAGCCAGCACAAGTCAAACACAGTCCTGGCCAATCAGCATCTCCTCATAGAAATACATTGAATCAATGCATCTCTATGAGGAAAGTTCAGTGTCTACATGTAGAGGGTGGAGACACTGAATGGCAGAGCTGCACATTGTGAAGCACTGCGCCAGGAAGAACATCTAGCAGCCATCTGATGAGTGGCCAGTGGACGTATCCCTAGGCCGTAATGTAAACACTGCATTTTCTCTGAAAAGACAGGGTTTACTGCAAAAACCCTAAAGGGAATAATTATACTCACCAGGACAAGTGCAATAAGCTGTAGTTGTTCTGGTAACTATAGTGTCCCTCTAGTAAAAGAAAGGATGATGGACACAGATTGCAAATAACAGGATGGAGGTTTTTTTTGTTTTTTTTTTTACATAATTGTTTCTATTTTTACATAACTGCACTTTTCATGCTAAAAATAGAAAACCTACTCAGGAATATTTTAACCAAAGTTCATGGGTATTGTGGTTGGAACTGATTTTTAGTGACATCTACTAACACATTTTCTTATTACTTGATTTAGATGATAAATACAGATACACAACCTACAAAGTCAGTGGGGAGCTAAAGAATCAGTGTTTTTGTGAAGATTTTTGATTAATTTAATGGATCTGGAAACCACTTTTAAAACTACTTCATATTTTTAGGGGGGAAAAAACAGTATATTGACATTTTTTATATATAGTATATAATTTTGATATTTTAAAATTTAGAAAAATAAATTTGAAACATTTATTCAAAATATTAAATAATTTGAAAAGCATATTGAAAAATATTAAATTGAGACCAAAGTGCTTAATGACCACAGTAAAGAGAATATTGTGCAATAGTTTATGGAAATCTAAGTAAGGAAGAGTGAGCTGTATGAAGAATGAAGTCTTACCTTCTCTTTAACCATCTCTAATTCATCATCAGTGATCTTCCATGGCTCCTTTCTCTTCATCTCTTCTGCTGTGATGTTGTCCACGTTTCCTTCATGCAGCCGGTACGGTTCCACAAGATCTTCAAAGCATTTTATGCTATAGATTGCAAAAAAAGGAAATAGGTAGGACATTGTGAAACCCATTTTGAGTTGCCTCCTTTTTGGAACATACTGTACCTCCAAGACAAGGTAAAAAGGCTACTAATTCAAAGAATACAGATGTTGCAATTGTGGACAACATTGTTGTGGTACCTCTAACATTTTTTTTCGCCCAAATGACTTTCTGAGTAATGGTGACCAATTAAATAGATAAACTTGTCCTAGAAATAATGCTACCCTCATATTGAGCAGGAATTAAAAGGTAACGTGGCCTTTGTAGGACATGGGAAACTATTTGTGTAAACACTATGCTTGTGAGGAATTTTAATTATGTAGACATTTGCATTGAGCTACATGACATGAAAGTCCCCTCATAATCAACATTTTTCACCTCTGTTTATAATAGTCTATGTCAGTGTGCCATACAGATGGCCAGACGTGGCTGCTACAAGTGCCCAACAGGGAATTTGAACCTGGGTCCTTTGCTGTCCTGGGCCTGCTATCTGCCTTTGAGCCACAGCAGTTCCGATTCTTTTGAGCTGTTCTAGCCCTATTATTCCTGGCTATGTCTGCAGCACTTGGGGCTGGACTTCTTCTATGGTCATTGCTGTGCTTCACCTGAGACTGACCATTCATCTGCTGGGTATTTAAACTGCCCCTCCCTGAGCACTTTATCAAGTCTTTCATCCTGGTGTATGTGTTCAGTTCCTGTTTTCTAGCCTCCTGAACTTGTATTCCTTATTGACCCCAGCTTCTGACTTTGGCTTTGTTTATCCTGACCTCTGGCATCCTTTTACTTCGGCTATCCCTTGACTATCCTGATGTTTGTAACCTTGTCGGTACTGCATTGGAACACCTTTCGTGCACAGCCCTCATGCACGGAGTCAAAGTCTAGGTGGCTTCTTACCAGATCACCTTGGACTGTGTCTATCTGCAAGGGTGAGAAAACATATCTGCGCTACAGACTCCCACCTCAGGTAAGACCCTGACAGTCAGCCACTGTGATTTATTAGGTCAGATCCATTTTGTTATTTAGCCACCTATCAATCCATGTTACCTCCTGTCATGTTTAATGTCACAATCTATGACCTTATGTTATGGTGTTACTGTCAAGGAATATAAATACTTTAGCACCTAGCATCTCTTCAGATGAATCTACACCAAATATTCTGTTTACAACTTCCACCTGCACAGTACTTGGCTCTAAACAATTGTTCTATACAAACAGCATGATTACTTTTGAGTAAACTTAATGGCCGCCTATACTTTTTGAACTTTCCAGTCTCATAAGTTACTATCAGTTATAGAATAACAGCATAGTGTTTTTCACTTCGCTATTTTCACTTGTGTAGCATTAGTACATTGCCTTAAGGCACATACCGTTCCAAATGTCTCCATCCACATGTCCACCCTCTATGACACATTTATAAACAAAGCAGGAAAAATTAGGGGGTAAGTGTGGAATGGGTCTTAATGCCCTGAGAATATCTAAATAGCTAAAACGTTACCTATCCCAGGCAACTTTGGCATACTACTCCAAATTACATCTGTGATTAAAAAATCAAGTCAGTGGTCAATAAAATAGATACACTATGATAGATAGATAGAGCGAGAGATGTAAAAGCATACCATTTAGTCAACACACAGAAATAAAATCCTATGAAGTCTTGTTTGCCGAGATTATGAGATCTTGTCACGCCAATGCTAGAATTATTTTGCGATCTTGTCTACTTTGAGTTCCCATTACTGCACAGATTCATTTTGACGCCAATATTTTCAGTAAGAGCTCTTTCAATCTGTACCATACCTGTCTGGCCTGGGTGCCTTGTTTATATCTCCAATAATTAGAATATCAGAATAATTGATGCGGAACTTGTTCAGTAACGTTGCCATCCTTTAAACAGAAAAAGCATGAAAACGACAGTGAGATTACAATAACTACAACTAGAATATTTTCACTGTATTGTACTCTTTACAGAATCTCCCCTCCTTGCCCCCACCCTTCCCCGCAATAAATATGGATTCCGACCAAGTCCCTCCAATCACTCTAGTTTATAATACATTGAAATACTTCACGTTGTCATGGTCCAAGGAATACATTTAAAACATGATGAAAAATTTGCAGGCTTACAAAGTTACACAGTTACATATAGTTACATATAGTTACATAGCTAAAAAGAGACTTGCATCCATCAAGTTCTGTCTTTCTAACATAAAGGCAAAATAACTCAGTCTGAAGCACTTCCAATTTTGAAACAAAGTAAGAAACAATTCCTTTTCAATCCCAGAAGGGCAGTCAACTATCTCCTTGAATTAAGAAGTTATTACCCCACTAATTAAAAATTATATCCCTGTATATTGTGTTTTTGCAAGAATTTATTCATTTGCGGTTTAAGCATCTCTTATAAAACCACCTCTTCAGGCAGAGAATTCCACATCCTTATTGTTCCTGCTGTATAAAACCCGTTACTTTGCCTTATACTAAATCTTCTTTATTCCAGTCTAAATGCGAGACCTTATGTCCTATTTATTAATAGATTTCCAGACAATGGTTTGTTTTGTTTTAAATATGTTTATTGGTTTCATAACATATTCCAGTGCAAACGTATTATTGTTAGTGCCTGCGCAGAGGCCTGGTTATCACTGCATGAATGCATATACTAGTTGTTGCCTGTGCAGAGGCTCGTCAAGCATGTCAATTGTTTTACAACATTTAATATAATATCATGTTCAAGTGTGCTTTTTGTCGTCTTTCTTGCCAATCTTGAAAGTATCTGATTGTGAGTGATCAGTAAAGCTGTTGCGTTTAACCAGTGTCGGCCTAATGCATTGCACAGACTCAACCCGTTGTGGTTTGATGAGTGGCTATTTACTAACACATGGCTGTTATGCTAACAGAGTAGGCGAGTGTATGCTGCTTTTAACCAACCACGAGCTGAGTGTGAGCGTGTCTGTATATATCCTACTGTGCCACAGTTGGTCATTATGTATGCAAAATCTGCAGGTTGCATGTTGTTATCCCTAATTCACTACAATTTAGGGTGTAAGTTGCTTGTGCATTCTTGACCCCGAAGTGCATAACCTTGCTTTTTTCTACGTTAAATTTAATCTGCCATTTTAGTGCCCTGTCCCCCAATCTATCAAATCCCTCTGCAGCAAAGCAATAACCTGTTTCCATAGCATTACTTTACAAAGTTTTGTCATCTGCAAACACTGAAACATGGCTTTCAATGCCTTTTTTTCAGGTCATTTATAAATATGCCAAACTGAAGTGGTCCCAGAACAGAACCATGAGGAACACCACTTACCACTTTTGTCCAGCTTGAAAATCTACCATTAGTGACAACTCTCTTTGCTTTATTTTTAAGCCATTGTTGTACCCAACACCAAGAACATCTAGACCAATTTATTTTAGTTTGAAAACTAACTACTGTGAGGAACTGTAGCAACACCCTGATCTATAGTTCTATGCATTTCGTTGTAGAATGCAAAACTGGTTATTCACTAAAGTGAGAATTTCAAATTTAAAGGGATAATCCACTGCCAAATACAAAATAAAATCACTGTTTAGTAGTTATATGCCTATGGAAACATGCATGCATTTAATTATACATTTATTCATTGAGAGTATATCTAAAAACAGCTTGCAAAAGCTGCAGATTTCTCGTCTGCTGCCTTTGCAAGTATTCTCCTTCTAACCCCGCCCAGACTTTCTGTGGCTGTCCAATCACAGACTTTCCAATGCAGCTCAATGAGAAGGCTTTACATGGCAGGTGCTTTGAGTAATTGTGGCCTCTTGACTTTGGTTCCACTGAGCTAAACAACCAGGAAGTAACAAGACCGGTTGTCTGATTGAAAGCCAGGATGGTGTATTTAGGTTAACTTATAAAAGTGCCAATTTCGATTGAAATCTGCACTTCTTACAAAATGGAAAAGATACACCTTTTTCCCACATAAAGCACTTCAGTAAACTGAAGTGCTTTAGGTGTCTGGGTAGTCACTTTAAGGTCAAAATAGCTGAACTGGAAAATTTCTCTAAATCAGCTGTACTATCAGTTTGACTACTCTGGCCTTGAATTTTAAATTTACTTTAAATTCTCACATTCAATGCTACAATTAGGAGAAAGGCAGAATAATTGTCTTTAATTAAATTGTATATGATACATGGCTTACATGCGTTTGCTGTCATCAATAGCGTTAATTTTTCCTCCGGTGAAGACACGGATTTTGCATTCTTTCCACTGTTTCTTGGTAGTTAATAGGTATGGTATCAGCAGAGTCAGACCTATGAAGATAATGGTTTCAGTAGGACGGTATGTATAATTCTAATTTAATGATCATTGTTTGAAACCTTAAGCTGAAAACCATAGTTTGTGGGTGTATTAGTTGTAAATGTATCCATGATAAGCATGCAAACTATAAGATGGAATTAAACATAATATATATAGCTACAATCACAACATAATATAAGCATAGGGTGATTAGGTGATAATCATTTTCACGTACTGGTACCAATTGGTTTTCTCACATTTTGTCCCCTGTCAGGCTATAACCATGCGATTTTTGTTACCTCCATCATCAAACAGCCACCAGACATCAATGGTCCCTTTTCCCTGCTTCCTCTGGAACCGAGAGGAACTGTCTGTGGAGATCTTGTGTCCAGCAGAAGTAACTGACGGTGATGCAACCTCAGGGCTTGTTGCTTTAAGAAACGTCAAGAAAAGAAGTCAAAGTATGACCATGCCATCTACCATCATTTTGTATTTGCATCCCCCATTTGTGCCTAAACCCCCTTTTGTCTCTCTTACCCATGTCTTGTGTCTTCATGCCCCCATACTCCCCATGTGTCTATTATGCCCCTCTTGTGTCTCTTTCCCGCTTTGTGTCTCTTTACCTGTTTGTGTCTATTTCCCTTTTTTTGTGTTTTTAACCCCCTTTTTGTTTCCTACCACATATTGTGTTTGTATCCCCCTTTTGCACCGTAGCCTCCTTTTGTCTCTCTAACGCCTCTTGTGTCTCATGCACCCTTGTGACTAAATGCCTTATGTCTTGTGTGTCCCTTATGTCTCCCTTTAGTCTTCTATGCCCTTCTTGTGTATCTTATACCCCTTGCGGCTCTTGTGCCGACTTGCTTCTATTACCCCCATTTTTGTGTCTCTTATGCCCACCTTGTCTATTATGCCCCCTTCCCTTACACCCCTTTTTTGTTTCTTAGCCCTTTCTCTTTTTTTTCTTTCTTACCTCCTTTTTTTTCCTCCTACTCCTTTTCTTGTGTTTCTTATATCACCCTCGTGTTTCAACCCCTCCTCCCTAATATGTCTTCTATCCCCTCTTTCGTGGCTCTTACCCCACCTATCGTGTATTCTACTACATCCACTTTTGAGTCTCTTACGATCCCATTCATCAAAGTTATCTGTAATGTGGCCTCATGGACCCTTGTACAGGAGCTTCACTAACCGTACATATTAAGAGGTACATAGCACTTACGATACACCCTGAGATGTCTTACATTGTTTTTTGTGCCATATCCACACTCACCCGGTTATTAAAATTATAGTCCACATGTTTGTCTTTTATTATTTCATATTGACCATGTGTTGTATTGCTCTTTCACGCATTCTTTATACTGACAAATACATAAATAAAGGCTAAAAATGTTCCTTTAATGTTAATAATTCAATAATTTAACTCTGGAATCTGGAAAGCCTGATTTTATAACAGCCTCATCACAGTGTCATCAATATTTTGTTAAGACTATTACCTCCATTGATTTGAGAATCAGAATCACCTTCAACATTCTTTCCCGCAGTTGAAGTTTTCTTCACTTTTTCTTTAGGAGCAATAACTTCTCCTTTAAAACAAACAAAACCAAAATCAACCCCATACGCGAATACTAACCAACTTTAAAGAAAACATTACATAACATTAACATTTGACAATATATAATATATATATATATATATATAGAACAGGCTGTGATTCATGGGTCTATTAAAACAGAGCTTCATGGGAATGAAATTAAACGTAAAATGTCTTCGACTTGACAAATGCATGTAGAAATTATGCAATCTATATAAAAAAAATACTTTGCTATTGTTCTGAATTACTATTTCAGTTACATAGAGTTTTATCGGTAAGTCACAAAGTGCTCTGAAATGTCCCAGAATAGCCCTGTTCCCGGAAACACCTCCTATACCACTTCCAAAAATAAATTAAAAATGTCCTTTCTTTGCTATTTGAAAAGTAGGGAGAAATGCTATCAACATCAAACATCATGTCATCCAACGACTCAGAACTTGGGAGGGCCACACTACCCAGAGGTTCATTGAAATACTAGAAGAATATCACGTTTATTATATGACAAATGAGAAATGGATACCCACCATGTACTGTACTTTCTGTAGCATCAAGGCCCTCCTTTAGTCTTAATATAATGATACCATATTGGAAATCAAATGCATCACTAGAAAATAAATGTATCAGACAGAGAATACTATCAGTACACTAAAAATATTGCAAACACATTACATTGCAGAAGCATTTTAACATTTTGTTTTAGAACACCGTCCGTACGGTGTAACATTCGGCTTTCAAAATATGACATGGATTTATCTGTCTATTGTACTAAAACTCCACAATACTTATTAAAATGAAAACAAATGAAAATTAAGTGGCTAATTCAGAAAAAAAACATAACCTCACTGACTCCATCCATTGAGCAAGAAATCTGTGAATCGTACAACACAGCCTTCCTTCCTGCCCCCCTACTGTGCATTCACACTATGGACAGGCATCAGTGCCAGTATATGGCATTAGTACACGTTCTATCTCATGGTTACTATATAGACCTTAGTATATAGACCTTAACCTTCTGCTTGGCAACCTGTTGGTGTGAGATCCATTTCAGTAGACCCCTGTCGGCTCATATCTCTTGTTGCAATAGTCACACTGTTTTGCATGCGCAACTCAATGCAAGAAGGTAACAAAACAGCCCTCACAATTCTCAAGCAGGATTCAACAAGGTCTTCTATGACCGCAACTCTAATACAAGCATCAGAATAACTGTCTCACCACTTTACAAAATGGGAAAAAGTGGTGGTTACTATGGAAAGGGTAATTCATTAGTGAATCAAGAAAGCAACGTGATTTTCGAATTTGAAATTCACTTTGAATCCTCAACAATACAGATTCTAGTGAATAATTCAGAAATTTCCTAACCAAATCCATAAATAGGCAATTGAAAGAATGACCAAAGCACATCAATACATACAAAAACACAAACACACACAAAGGGGCGATCTTTATTGATAACAAGTTAGAATAACGTTGAACATATACTGTTGAAGTTATGGTTCAAATGTTACAGGTAAATGTCGTAGGAAATGTTGTTGTGCTCCAGATACTCAACTTTTTCTCTATATATATCGGTATATACTTTCTTTTATATATAAAATGATAATAGATTTAAAAGAAGGTTATTTGTCTAGGCCAAAGTCAGCCTAGGAAAAGCCATGAGGAGATAAATTGCTTGAATTCCTGTAAGTTAAATAAAAAAGGCTCTTAAAGATTCACCAGTTTGACCACATGGATAGAACAGAAGAAAGGGATCAGCTCTCTATCTATACAAAATAAAACTGAAACAATAATAAATAAGTAAAAAGTGGCAGCACACCTAAAAAGTAGGGCTCCCTCACAGGCCTTACAACAGAAATGGTACAGAAAAAAGAAAGGAAGGCAGCGCCACTATAAACCACATAAATTAAAAGAGCACAGAAAAGGCAGACTAGAATGCAATATATATGATAGATAATAAGCAAATAGAAGTCCAGAATAAATAGTCTGACTGGTAGATGAATCAAACAACGAGGTATATCTTTGTAGAGGTGAATACAGCACTTTTGAAAAAAAAATTTAAAAAATTATGACATCATTTTGGCGCCATTTTCTAATATGTTCACTGCCTATATAAACCTGCATGTAACAGGATGTACTTTCTGATCTCCACTTGATAAAGCCTAAGGGCGAAACGCGTTGTGGTTTTTTAAACTATATTGTTTTAAATAAAGGTATTTTGGCCACTTTCTTACTGTGAGTTAGCCATCTTACTTTTTATTACTATTATTATTTTACTTTTTTATTGCTACCATCCTTTTATCCGGCACAGAAGTGTTTTTACTTTCCAGTGAGGATATTACTCCCAAGAATCCTAGGTGGGGATTATACCACTCAAGCTGTATTCATTGAACAGTCAGTCTGTTCAACTAAATGTGAGTAACCACTTGGTTTTTTATCTTCTCACCTCTGGCATTTTATACTTTGAGCACCATTGTTGTTCCTGCTTTTATTTCCACATATGGTTCCCTAATCAAGAAAGAATACTAAGACCTCACGTATCCCATAAGTGGGGATTATACCACTGTACGTTATCAACACTAGAGCTAAGTCTATAGCTCTTGAAAACGTGAGTAGGACCATATACTCTTTTATTGCTTCTACCCCTTTCGGGACATACTATACCATCAGTTGTTATTTTCTCATTTCATATGATGTACAAAGACGCATCTACACCACTCTGAAGAACCCCCCACTACAAAAGACTGTATTCACCTCTACAAAGATATACCTCATTGTTTGATTCATCTACCAGTCAGACTATTTATTCTGGACTTCTGTTTGCTTATTATCTATCATATATATTGCATTCTAGTCTGCCTATTCTGTGCTCTTTTAATTTATGTGGTTTATAGTGGCGCTGCCTTCCTTTCTTTTTTCTGACCACATGGATAAACAGAATTGTGCTAATCCCCCATTTGTTTATGTTACGCAATTTTGGTAAGTGTACCTTCTCATGTGGGGGTGGGCTACTGAACAAGGAACAAATATTTCTATATTCGTTGTAATTCTATGTTTGTAATTTAGGACTTAGAACAGGTAAAATAAAATGAGGAATACTCACTGTATTATATTTACATATTCATCCACAGATATCTGGTCAGATATAGTCCGCAGAGTCTGAAATCCCAAGACCAGTGTGTTTGGTTTCATACGACCCAGGCCAGCTGCCTGTACAGGGAGCAAATGTTGATGATATATTGCATACTAATGTCCTACCACACAAAATTAAGCCCTGTGCTTAAACTCCCACTACTCCTGGGTGGCAGCAATGACTACTTTTCTAGCAATCTATTTCATTACCCCTACTTATACCTTTTTGTGTCAATATACCTCACTACCTCAAGCATGTAAGCTCATTGAGCAAGGCCCTCAACCCCTTTGTTCCTGTGCGTCCATTTGTCTGGTTACAATTACATGTCTGTTAGTCCACCCATTGTACAGTGCTATGGAATTTGCTGGCGCTATATAAATAAATAATAACAGTACTCATCAACCTCAACACATAGAATAAAAAAACAAAAAACAAATGTAACGTTGCACTATCCCAAATTCCTATGCACATTTAAATAACCGGAGTATAGTATTTTAGTTTAGTATCACTCCAAAAGCCATTAAAATGTAAGCTCACCTGCCTCATCAAGGCAATATGTCGTAGGTGAAAAAAGGGGTACATTGACAATACACCAAGAGCCATGTTACAGTGCATAATAAGGGGATAGGGGTTGAGAACAATACCCCTTTTGTTACACTTAAATGGCCATTGGAGTGATACTGAAAAACCTCCAGTTATTTACATGTACATAGGGATTTATTTTTATTTATTATTATTTTTTTGCTATGCATAAAGTAACAAATGAACTTGAGCTGCCACGACAGCATGAGCAAGTACAGTAATATCACCAGGTCAAAACATTGGTATGGCATTAGTATAACAGCACAATTTTTAAAGATATGGAGTTTCAGGCTAGAGTACTGCGTTTTAAGAAGCGTTAATGTAAGTTAGCATGCCAAAAGATTGTTACAAGCTGATAGGCCACTGATATGCCTCATAGATATGACATTATGAAGACAATGTCAATGAGAAAACGATATAAACAAGAAAAAAAATCCTCTGCGCTATAAACACAAGGTAATAACTATGCCTCTGGAAGTGAGGTGTAAGGGAATGATCCATGCAGTAATGCAGATCTGAGATTAGCAGGCTTAGAGAACAGCAGAGATAGGGATAGCCAACCAGCTTGGCATGATTTGGACATTCCTAGTAAGAGCCAGCCTATATGAGCTTGTGAAGTCCTAAAACACATGGTGGCTACAGCTGAATGGGGGTAAGTCCTATATTTAGGTATTTGTCAGTGTCCTGGATAGTATGGCAGCATCAGCCTATTCCTTTGCTCGGGAAGCTGATGTTTCTGGTGCCGGGGAGCGGAAGGATTAACACTCCTGATGTCCCCTCCACTCGGGGCTTGCATACCGGCCTGCATTTTTTGGCCACGGACTCAAGCCCTCTTTGGGTCCAAGTCCTTCCCCCTGAGGAGGGGACAGAAGGCCAGGGTAGGACCATGCCGCTGATAGCGGACCGGATCTTCCATCCTCGTAGGCAATGCACTGGGGTTTTAACCCCTCTGGCTTTTGACCCTGGTAGGTTGAGGTTACTTGCCGTTTGGGGAAGTGAGTGCCCTGGGTGGGCCCACTCACCACCTGGCTGCTGCTCTCTCGGTCTGTCACCCGGGATTGTTGTAGCTGTGCCTCTTGTCGTGCCTCACTGGATTCCCAGAAGTGTTGCAGCACTTCCTCCAGCCGCCGCAGAGATTGAGCAGTGGGGTCTGCGTGTACCAGCCCCTGTTGTAAGTGTTCCAGGGATAGTAAGCTGTGTATCAGGCTTAGGCTTAGGATCTGCAGCTAGGGTTGCACTATCGTACATTGTAGCAGCCAGTGTAGACCGTGATAATCCCCACTGATCCAAGGTGGGGAATGGGGCTGTAGCAGCGGTTGATGCCAGCATCGGCAGCTCCAGGCTGGGAGAATGGCCGTGTATCCCCTCCACAGGGTCCGTCAGATGTGTAGGCCGCAAAACAGTTTCTTGCCTCAAGATTTGTAGAGGGGCTTCAAGTTTGCCTGAGAGAGCTCCCCCGTGATCAGGGGCACGAAGGTGATCAATTAGGTAGCTTTTGAGGGTGAAATCTCTTCAGAGAGTCTAAGTTTTCAAGCTTTGGTAAACGAGCTCATGCTATGCACGTCTGCTCTTCTTGATGGCTAGGTCCCTCCCCCTGTACATAGGGATTTGGGATAGTGTGCAGGTAACTTTTTTTATTATTTATTTATTTAAATTCCTGCCTTGATAATAAAAAAAATATTTGGACATTATAAGCAATTATGTCATTTATTATAGTGTTCATTTTTCCCATCAGCGCATATGAATTCATATCACATAGAATGTATTGTATATAGAATTTCCGAAAAACCATAGCAGATTTGTTCTCACGATGTAGTGGAAGATCAGGTTAAAATCTGATGGATCCATACAATTGTGAGAGAGTTTGATTGAAAACTTGTCGAATGACAGAATGCAAATGGTTGCAAGTAAAATTAACTTTCAGTACTAAGCTCCTCTGAACACGAAAAAAAACGACAACAAAGGCTGTTGGAAATTGGACACCAAAGTGGTGAACCAAAAGTTAATTTGTAAATAATTTGTAAATATTAATCTAAAACAGCTGATCTGGAAATAGATCTAACTCATCTATAACTGCTTTTGTCATCGAAATTATGAAATTTTAGTATTATGTTTCCCAGAATTCACTGTTTATTGAACAGGCCTTGCAATGCAAGTTGTACAAAATTAAACCCTATTCTGTGTTAGCATAATAATATTAACGTTCATGCTTAACAGTTTTTTTTCTTTTACCTGGATCAGGTATAGAACTCCTTGTCTAAACTGCTCGGCACAAACTGAAGAGTAGAAGGCTTTCTTCTTGTGCTGGATAAGCCATTTCTGGTACTTGGCCTGGTTTAACATTATCTCCTTCTGGCACTGCCTGTGGGAACCCTGCAAAGTAATAAAGAGAGGTCTTAAAAGTGTTAATTATAGAGAGATGTCCAAAGGCTTCACATGAAAGAACAATGGAATGTATTTTTCACATGCAGTGCAGGGAAGAGGAACTTGTAGGAAATTTATGCCACCTAGTTTCGTGACCACTCACTGTTTCTTCAAGCCTTGTGCAGCCTTGACTTTTGTAACCCTTTCCTTTCATGGTTCTCGTCTTGTCTCTCTCAATTCTTATTAAGTGGCACCACCTCCTCCCCAGGACCTGTTTTTGTTGGAGTCTCCCAAGGTTTTTGACCTAGGGTTTTCCTCTTCCAGAAAACAGACCTTATGCTAATAGTCCTCCCGTAAGTCTGCAATATAGCCAGCTCTCTGGTACTCCAGGCCATCAATCCCCCCATATCTACAAGGCTGCATGTTAGCATCAATGCAGCCCCTTTGCCTGCACACCAATACTTCAGCTTTGCCCACAGGGTTTTAGGGCATCACATAACTGCTCATTGTCTTCCTCTAAGACTTCTACAAACATCCATCTCCCCTTAGACATTCCCCAGCTCCCTCCCCAAACACCAAAATCTTGGCCGCTTTTGGTTTTTTCTTTATACTGCCTCTTTTGGCAAACTTATTAGCTCCACTTGATTCTAGAACCATCTATACTCTGCTGACCTTCAGATTTACCTCTCCACCCGATGTCTCTACTAATCACCTGAAAAGTGTCAACTATTGAATTACCTCTATTTCTACTTGGGTCACTTCCTATTATCTAAAAGATGATAATGAAACTGAACTTCTTATCATACCTGCTTCCATTGTCTATCTCCCTACATATCAATGAAGCCTTGACGACTTTGACACCACTTGTTGGCTTGCTGCTCTTTTCAATTCTGGCCTCATCTTTTGTCCCCACATCCAGAATGCCTCTAAACCATGTAACATACACTTTAAATTTTCACCATTGCAGTGTTCACCCTATCTAACATGAGATGCTACGAAGTCACCTGTTTGTGTGACTATTATTTTGTTTCTTGGCTATTACAACTCACTTCTGAGCAGGGTTCCAGAAACACCGTGGGCTTGAGCCTAAAGGGAAATTCAATAACCCCTACACTATGAGAGAGGTGGGAATTTGTTGTGACATGTCCCTCACTTTCTATTCTGCTGATGCTCTCATTGAAGTGGTCTGGGTGAAGTTCCCCTTTCCCCTTAACCCTGCAATGTAAAACATTGTTGTTTCAGAGACACTGCAATGTTCATATTGCAGGGTTAAGACAATATCTACTGTCCATCTTCCAGACAACCGCTAGAGGAGCTTCCTGCATTCTCCTGCATTAACTCCATGAAATGACATTGGAAGTCACCATGCATGCACATTAGGTTTCTCCATCAGCATAAAGGCACAGGAGAACCCTTTTCACTGGGGGAAGGATTCAAGGCGAAAGAATACCCCTAGCAGCAAGGCCTTCACATAGATTCATGTTCCAGGTAAGTTATCCGTGATAGTCCGTGATAGCCAGTAATAAACCATATATACTAAAACATACAGACTCACCACATGGACGTGTCCACATATCATAAGTCCAACATTTTTGGTGAAAGAATGGGCAAGGTCCACCAATGCCTGTCGTGCTACAGGGGATCCGGTCAGGACAAGGCACTGTGGTCTGAGGAATAGAAACAATATTTTCTTCAAGGTATCACATTGTCTATCGCATGTCTCATTACACTCTGACAGATTTACAATATTTGCATAACGATAACTTATCTAAATGGTGGAGTAAACTGCAATTTCTGCACACTAAAAGATATTAATTTATTTAAGAATATTTTCTTGTAATATTTGTTAATTGTTTTGTTTTTTTTTTAAATAATTTATAGCAGTACATGAACTTTGGTTCAAAATGTAACAAGCTAAACAAAACATATGAAGTTCTTTTTATATGTGGTTTGGAAAAGGGTACACACAAAGTGTGGGAGCAGCTTTGATCAGTTACTGGGATTATTCAATTGTTCGAGATAGCACATATTGTATTTGTATCAAGTTCAGTCTTTCTCATATTAGCTTTTGCTGTTGACCCAAAATAAGGCAAGAGACCCAGTTTGAAGAGCTTTCCAATTCCGCAAAACAACTGGGGAAAAATCCTTCTTGAGCCCAAAATGGCAGTCAGATGTCACCTTGGACCAAGAAGCTGTTACCCCACATATTAAATATGACATCCCTGAATATTATTGACATCAAGTTGCTGTTTAAACATCTGTACAGACTCCTCTTCAAGCAGATAATTCCACATCCTTATAATTTTTACTGTAAAGACCCCTTTCCTTTGCCTTAGACTAAATCTCCTTTCATCCAGTCTAAATGTGTGTCCTATGTATTGTCCTCTTTATGAATAGATTTCCTAGAAGTGCTAGGGGACAATTTGCATGTTTTTGTACAGTGTAACAAGTGAATATTTATTTGCTCTATAAAGCCTATTATTTCTCTTTCATGTGTATGTCTGACTACATTAAGTAAAGTTACACACGCATTTGGTTTTTTTTAAACAGAACTTTATCCCTGGGGCCCAGTGGTTTGCTGCAGGGATTAATTTGTGTACTGATTGCACAGCTTGCTGCAGCTCTTTACTGATACTGGTTTAATGTTACATCCTGACTCTTGACATTGGTACAGGGCAGTAAGGTAGATGTGCAGTCAAAGCACAGATTGATCCTAGAAAGTTCTCGACTGCTTGTGATGTCTACTAAATAAAATCTGCAGAGCAGGCACTTGCTGTGTGGTAACTGCCACGCGTTAGCAGGTACCTGCTTTGGCAACAGAGGGTGCTCTGTGTACCCTATGCCGCATGTTACCCAGAGTGGACTTCCCCCCGCCGCCAGGGTTAGTACACTACAGCCCACTCGACACACTGTCTGTTGGGTCATATCTTCTAAACAGTGAGCAGTCAGTGTCTCGTTCATACATCAAAACCCTGCTCAATGGAATACTGAAAATGGATAACAATTCAAATAGCTTACCCTTTGTTGGGACCCAGCTCAGTTTTCAAATTGGTTTTAACATTTTTGATATTATGGACAACCGTTTGAATATGTAATTGATCTCACCCTAGAGGTCATTTCAGCTTTGGTGGGCCACACAAATGAAGTGTGGCCGGTACATTGAGCAAGGAGTTCTAGCTATAGATCACCATTTTACCTTAGGAAGGTCCTAGGCAATTTGAAACAAGCCAAAACAGAAAGCAAAATAATTCTGTGAACAACTTAAACATCTTCTCTTTATTTCGATGTCTCTAAGGCAAAATAATAATCCAGACATGGACCCCTTTCTCGCTGTGCCTAGTGTGGAATCCACTACATCTCACGGACAGGAATCAATGAAGTCCAATACGATAATTTGAGGCTGCTGTATCTCTTGTGCAGATAGAACTTCTCAACTCTGGACTGCCCGTTTGAAAGAGACCAGTCTGATATAAATAAAGGTTCTCCCTGTAATGACACAACTAAAACTAACTTGAGATCTGACCAGAAATCCACCAAACGACAAATTATGGGGCTATTGTCCATTCACAGTTTTTACTTGTACCTTTGTACCTTAGTTTTAACCCATTAATTAACTATATTTTGGGAAGATTGAGGTTATATTCACATCATGGGAAATAATGGGAAACATTTAAGTTTCATAAATGCCATTGAGAGTTTGAGTCACCCCATACGACCCTATTGAAGGCTTTTTTTGGTTTTCTGCATCACATATGCATTACAGAAAGCATGATATCAAATTGAGAATAAAATTGGTACCTGAAATTCTTCACATGGTCCTCCACTCCATACAGACGAATAGAGTGTTGAAGAGCATTAAGGTAAGTGAGTGCCTGGGTTGAAGATCCCCAATTCACATCTACAAATTATTTAAAACATAAAAAAAAGGAGAAGTAACAATATGCCTGCCAAAAATCATCCTCGTTCTTTACAAATAACTAAACATGTATAAAAACTCAAATTGCATTCTCTAATGAACTCCAGTAAACAAGGTTTCTATTTCAACCTTACGTGACAACTCAAATGAGAAAAGTAGGTATCCCAATTTATTTTTTTTAAATTGTAGACCATGTTTGCACAAACGGTGAAGCACTTATTCACACATTTAACAGGATACTCTAAACACCAGGACACCATAGTGGTTATGGTACTTGGAGTTCCCTGATAGTAAACGTTTGATAAAGAAAGCTTTAACATTAACCTACGTCTGTCCACCAATGCTACATTAGATCTGAACTAGTATGGTGAAGTGGAAGTTCAAACGCCTGCCAACAATTTCAATTTTTTTTTTCTTGTGACTTTTTACCAATGACTTAAAAATGTATTCTGGCTAATAACCCAGCACTAGACATTTCAGTGTTCTTCTCGTAAAGCATAGACATACCATAACATCAACAACACCCCTTTCTCTGAATTCGCCTTGCTGATACCACTCATTCTGAAACCTAACCCACTGTTATGGTGCTAATCCTTTCTTTACATTTACTAAAGACATTAGTAAGCTCCCTTACAACTTTTCACAAACTACCTAAAACGCCCCTCTTTACAAATCTTTCAAAATTAAATTCTCTTCCCTGTCGTTCTTAATCCAAGTGATCTGGCCTCACTACCTCCTCTGAAAGCTCTCTACTCCAAACAAGCTCACCGTCATCCTGACTTCATGCTTTTCCCGCAGCCCCTATAAAACCCCGTGTTCATATTCCACCTACTTAATGTATCCTTAGATAAACAGAACTCTTTTGTTTAATGTACTATTAATGATCGTAAAATCAATACGCTCACTAATGACAATACAATTATATCATCCCAGTCCGACTCAACCTGATTTTAAGGTTTTATAGGACTTGATCTGTATAAGGTTCCAATGGGTTTTGTTCTCCGTGATTGTATTATCAATGTACTCATTGATTCTAATCTATGTAAAGAGCCTTGTATCGGAGCGCAAAATAAGAAATGTTAAATAAATACATATGTAAAGTAGTTATCATTGTAAAGAACCATCAGTAGATAGATTATACGACCGGAAATACATTTATCTTGGGCAACTCAATAGTAATTTGCCGTTGAAGTAATTCGAAATTACTTGAGATAAAGATGTATTTTTTTTTTATTAACCCCTTAAGGACACATGACATTTGTGACGTCATGATTCCCTTTTATTCCAGAAGTTTGGTCCTTAAGGGGTTAAAAAGCAGCTTGAGTATATTTCACTAAAACGTGATGGTTAAAAACTAAGCATCACGGTATATTTATCATACAAATACATAACGCACACATTTTGGGCTGCTTATTTGGATTATATAAACATATGAGCAGGGTTATCCACCAACGTTTATATCTATAAATATTAACATTTATAAAAATTTGTATAAAGTCAGGCATTCAGAGTGAATACAAAGTGAAATTAAAATTTTGACCCACTATTGCTGAAATAAAAATCTAGTTGACCTGACATTTTTCCCTTAAATTTCAAATCAATTTAGAATTTGTCTCAAATTCCTAACAATTCACATTTTCTAAAAAAACAAAAAAACAGAGTATGCAAAAAAAAAAACAACAACGAGATAATTAAAGCGCTCTGTCACCTTCTGGGGTCTTTGCATATTTTGAGTGAAATTCCAACACATTTTATTTTTATGAAATACTTGTCTGCGGGAGGGGGATGACAGAGTTCTAAAAAACAGTCTGTTTTGAATTTATGTATGGTTAGTTCGGGTGAGTATCTTATTATTTTAATAATGTATAATACAACCAACAGGACAGGATCAGGACATGTGCTGTATATCTGTTAATGATTATTAACTCACCTGGTTTCTTGTAAGTGACATATATGTAAAGGCTAAGAACAACTACACAGGTCAGGAGAGCTGCCTGCCAGTTTATGAGAAACATGACTCCGCAGCATAAAATGGCTCCCACCAGAGACACCCACAGATTGTAGTATTTAAACGCCGGTCTCCAGCCTACAAAAGGAAAACGCATTATTAACATATATATACACACCAGTGTGTGAAAAGGGGAGTGTTTTTTTCTTTACAAAAATGTATGACATTTGACATTGACTTCATACTAGAACTAATGTTTACCTATTATGTTAGAGCCTAAAGATTTAGTTATTTTAACCTCTTAAGCACCAAACTTCTGGAATAAAAGGGAATCATGCCATGTCAGACATGTCATGTGTCCTTAAGGGGTAAAATATCACTGTAAAAGAATCAACCAATTAATAAAAAAAATTGAAAAAAACAACAATACATATGTAACTAATAATATACTGCCTAACAGTCTAATTGTGCCATCTGTTCATACCTAATCAGGATAGATTCTAGGTTTTGAAGAACATTTAAAGGGACAGTTTAGTCAGTTTTTGCAACATAACAACCTCGTTTAAATAAAGCTGTTATGGGTCAAGGAGGTCCCTGGACACATTTTTACCTTCAAGGGTAAAACCGCTCTCGAATGGTTTAACCCCAAAGTCGCCTCCAGTGATGATCCTCAGGTCCTTCCAGGCAGCATCCACCTTCTTAAATCTCAGTTTTAGGAAGCACAGAGTGCCGCCGGGCAGGGACACTGCTAATTGGCTGAGGCTCTCAACCAATCAGTGACTACCCATTCACAAAACTGGCTTTTTTTTAAAAAATGTACCTTTTTCAAACAAGTTTTGTGAATGGTGAGGCACTGATTGTGGTGAGTCACTCCCCTTGCCTGGCAACACTCAGCACTTCCAGAAACTGAGATTTCACAAGCCGTCTAGGGGGAGGTGAAATCGTCACTCAATGCAACTTTGGAGTTAAACTTTTCCAGAATGTTTTAAACCCTAACTGTGCCCCCGGCGGCCTTCTGGCACCAGAACAACTTAATTTAGATGAAGTTGTTCTGGTGCCAGGAGTGCCCCTTTAAACAAAGATTGTCTCTAACATAGCAAGACATTTTGTGTTTGTTTGTTTTTATTTGACAGCTGAATACAAGTAGGACGATCCCAGTGTTACATGTAGCATTATACTCTAAACCAGTGGTTCCCAACCCAGTCCTCGAGTACCCCTTAACAGTCCAGGATTTAGGGATTACCTTGTTGTGTCTAAAGTGTTTTTTCTCTCTTTCTAAAAACATCTTAGAAACAACTGGGTAATGGTAACCACTGCTCTAGACTGTAAGCTCGTTTGAGCAGGGCCCTCATCTACCTATTGTTCCTGTGTAATTTTCTAATTTCTTGTAAATTTCCCCTTTTTTATAATATTGTAAAGCGCTGCGGAATTAGTTGGCGCTATATAAATACCAACAATTATAATAATTATAGTGATATATAATATATAAATAGCAATCAGATTAATAGCAACTAAAACAATTTATGTCATTTTCATTTATATATTAATATATAAGACCCGTCTTTGCCTCTTAACACTATGATGTACAGAAGAGAGCAAGGATGTCCCAGGATCCAGACACTTACAGACAACTGTCACCTCAAAAACTATTTTAATATAATAATCCTTTCATAAAGATTTGAAAGAAAATCTATATATTTTTATTAAAACATATGGGGAAAAACAGTTTGAAAACCGACAGTCTTTCCTGCTGCTGTGGTGGGAGTGAAGCAGGGAAGGCCACGGAGAATAAGGTTTCTAAACACTGTCGGAACCAAGGTGTATATACATCAGGACCAGCTTAAGAGCCCATTGGGCCTGGTGCTGACAATTATGATGGGCCTAATTACAGAGTCTAATCGACAGAAAACACTAAAACAGTCACATCTCCCAAGCGTCATGTATTTGGCGGAGATGGTGCTGGAGGGAAACTTACAGGATATAGCTATCAGAAAACACATGCCCTAAGCTATGCTTTTTTTAAATCAATCGGCCTATTCCATAGGTAATCAGCCCCTATGTTAATCCGGACCTGAGAGAGATATATATATTTGAAGGATGTAGGTATATGGCTGTCATATATCACATGGTCTTATATATTAATATAAAAATGGAAATGACATGAATTATTCTAGTAAATGCTATTTGCATATTATATATCACTATAATTCTACATTATAAATTTTAAACAATTAGAAATTGTTTCGAGGTGGCAGTTGTCCTTTAAGATGTTTTATATGGTAATATCTCAATGTGCTTTAATATCTTACCAAAGGTCTAAAAGAGAGAACTGAAACATAAACACGCGTGGGAAACCAAAAGAACAGAGCCACGAATCAACTAATTGGTTAGAGGTGTTTGTCCCCTGTTGCATATTAACTGATACATCTGTATAGCTGTAGAGTATATTTTGGTATCCAGATAGGACTAGATTTTAATGTTTTTCCTATGGCTCTAATGCACATATTAGTATTCTGACATTTCCAATATTTTCCATTTATTATTCATGGTACCTTGCTGTGTTCTCTATTAGTTTGGATTATAAATAAATCTCAATTGCTCCCTGACCAGAGAACAAAAATAAGCTGACATTTTTAACTATCGTGCTGCCCGAGAATCTAAATGCTGTGGTATGATTAACGAATTTGTCCTTAGTAATATCACCAACATGGTAAAATGTCTTATATTTGGAGAAGTAGGTAGTGAAAGTTTAGAGGGTCACCACTCCAGACCCCTAAAGTACTTAATTCAGTGGTGTATCCTGGTTTTGTGCTTCCCTAGGCATGACAAAATTCAACTTGAGAGTTCATTATCCCATTTTTTTTTTTAAATCAACATTTTTAATTCACATTGAATTTAATTTAATAATTTTGAGATTTAAATTTTTTCATAAATATTTTATTTATTTTCACAAAATATTTGATTTGAGAGACATCTTTCCGATTTTAAGGAATACCCCATATATGTAATGACTATAGCCTGATGTAGTGGTTATGGTGCCAGGAGTACCCTGGCATCCTCACAGAGTTACTGATCAAAATGCTTGACAACGTTTCATGACCCCCTGGTTCCTCCTACAGGAAAAGCCAAATGTCTTCCGTGAGCTAAGCACGGTTTGAAACAGGGCCATTCTCATTGACTAAACACTCAATAAAAGCAGCCCTGCAAGGTCACTCCAGGCACTATAACTACTACATCAGGCTGTAGTTGTTATGGTACTCTTAGTGTTCCATTAAGAATGTCCTTATCATTTCCCATTTCAAAATTTCCTTATACAAAATCACAGGTTAAATGAATCATTAATATTATGAATATTGTCAGGTATGCTATGAATCACATTGTTAATAAAATAGATTAACGCGATGTTACTTATTTTCCATTCATACAAGTATAACAATACCAGTCCAACATTGGCTGACATATACCTGGGGACTTTGCCAAGGAGGCATGGAAACAAGAAAAGTTGATGAGGGCATAAGAGGCCAAGAAGAAATTTGAGATGATTGGGGCAATAGTGTTCAGCTCAGCTGGGAAAACAAATGATAAAAATATGTAATTAGAACTATATACATTATTGGAGACCACAATGAAAGCCAGTTATGATGGCCGAGCCTCTTCCAACTGACAAGAACTTAAAACCTTCTACAAACAGTTCATGACTACTTGTAGGAGCAAGGATAATGAATGAAGATATGTCAAAGAAGGAACTATGAAACTGCAGTTTAAAAAAATACAAGAAACATTTAGACAATCTATTGTTTAGTAAATGGCTGTTGATAAGATTTAACAATGTCGACTCAATCACAATATTAACTCTCTGATTTTTTTTTGGTGAGACAAGAAAGGGCCCTATACCTTACATTAACCAGACAAACTCAAAAGGATACTTCAGGCATCGACACAACTTTTGACAGGCTTTGGTCTCATATTCATGCTGTATTCTTCTACAACATTTTTTTTTTAATCATTTTGCTAAAAATGAAAAAATAATAAAGGGGAAAAAAAAGTCTTGCAGTTGTCGTAGTGTAACTGCACCACCTTACCCTCGGTGAATGTTTTAACAAACATGAAAATTAGGTAAAAATGAAATCAAATGAACTTAAGTTGTGTTCAGAATCCCTCTGGATATGATTTATGAACACATTAGCAGATCCATTTTTCCCTTACCAAATTCAGCAGCCTAAAAGACTTGGTAAACCAGCAACAATACTATTTAATATATTATGCATATGTAAAACACTACATGTGTCTAAAATGGGAGTATATATAGTGACATCTGCAGCTACGATGCACAAGTACCGTTTATCAGATTGTCTGTCAACAACCTATGAGGAAATTGCAATTTTTTAATAAAAAATCACCATTTTGTTTGTAATTAACCTATCAATCACAGCATCATTTAAAGGTTTGCTAAAGACACATTGCTTTCTGCTTCTTTTCATCTTTTTGTAATGAAAAGGAAATATGTACCAAACTATGTGGTTGGATGCAGGCCAAATATGAAAAATGGTCTGTAGCTCCTAATTCTTTCCATAGAACTAAGCATCTCCATTATATCGCTGCTTGTATAATCACTCACTTTCTGCTTTGTACTGAATTCCCCTTCACTCACTTTCTTCACATTCCCTATTTTTATCAGAATCTCTCCTATGCATTTTAGTTGTTACCCAAGTTAAAAAAAAATCTAAAAAGTCTAAAATCCCTTCTTCAATCCATAATGGCAATCATATTTCTCCTTGGATCTACAACCTGTTCACACACATATTAATTGAATATTCTGTCCTTGCGAAAATACATCCATGCTTTTTTTAAAAATGATTTATAGATCTTACCAATGAGAATGAAACCAAGAGCAATAACGAAGGTTAGGATATAACCCCGAATTGGCTCCTTCCGTTGGCCATAACCTTTAGCAAAATACTGCAACCCAGAGTATATATTATCCTTGCAAAGGGCCTGAAGAAAATGAAACATAAGCTGTAGAGAATATCTGCTCATAGAATTTAAAGATTCGCCATGCTATATTAATAATATATTTCCATTATTTATTTGCGAATCACTTTCATGCATTGGTGTACATAGCATAACATGTCACTGTGTGATTTGAACCAGTTATACTAAAACAGTAACGATTATGAGTAAATGTTTTGTTCATTGAGTAACGCAAGGGTCACTAAGTTACCTAGTCCAATAAGCCAACGCTTTGCCATCGGACTAACTTTAAAAAACAGATTCCATTAGTGCCAAATATTGGTTTCATTCACTTTAGCGTAGGTTATACTTTCAGTCTTCAGTCACTGTTGAGTTTGTCAAAATTACTTAATTTGGGGATAATTGAATAGAGACCCAGGTGTGATAGACATTTATAATTGTCAATACCAGTAACACTACCCAGCTGAATAATGCGTCATTGCTACTTAATAACACACCGCGCCTTCCAAAACTGCAAGGTTTTGACATTGGTGTGAGAGTAGCTAGAATGAAGGTGTGCCAGGTACCTAATCCACATCACTTGCGTTGCAAAGAGGGGCCCCGTTAGACAGCAGACCTGTACTATCTATAGACAGAACACCGAAGAAGTGGTCTCATAGAGACAGATATGCTCTGCACTGGCACAAAAGAGTTAACTTGTGTTTTTTTGGGACTTTCCTTGAGTGACGCAGTTGGTGCCCACTGTTTCAGGGTTCATGGCCACTGTTTACCGGTATCTAGGTTCATGGCCACTGGGTGTTCTGGTTTCATGGCCACTGTTTCCCAGTATCTGGGTATCTGGGTTCATGGCCACTGGGTGTTCTGGGCTCTGGTTTCATGGCCACTATTTCGAAGTTTCTGTCACTCCAGAAGATGCTCTGACATTATTTTGTTTTTAAGAATAACAAAATGAAAAAATCTTCATGCAAAACATTGGAATGTAAAATATATATAGATATATATCTTAACAAAATGCTCCTTTTGAAAATAAAAAAGCTCAGAAACGTATTACTTATTTAACATTCATTATTTAAAATCATTTAGAATGTCCTTTTTATTACAATCCCACTACATAAAACTTCATTTTTGGGTGGCCCAAGGCTTGCCACATCTGTCAGCTTCAGCGAACGCCAAATAATAACCTGAAAGTGCAACTAAGAAAAGATAGTCCAGATATAGAACATGTCAAATAGTCCTTACTTTCACATAACAATAATAATATTAAAACAATAAATATATATATATATATATATATATATATATTTTTTTTTTTATGTTAATTAATAATAATGTTTTTTATAAATTAAAACAATTTATATTACTTGGAAAAACTTAATAAACACCATACAGTTAGATCCTTATCAATTATTTTCTCACAGCATACCTTACAGACTAAATATACTCTTAAGTTTACATGCTTATGGTTGATCCCAATTTCTTATGATATTGCCCTTGTAAAAATACAAGATACTGTTCTGGACCTCTAGAAGACTATAAATTTGACAGATTAAAGAATCAAACCAACTAACCAGTTTGTACAGCCAGAATCTACCGGTAATAAATATCTCTGGTTCAAGCATCTTGCATTAAGGTGTACGGAAGGAAAGTTAGGCATAGATATAAAATCTGAAATCATGGGTGTTGTGAAAATTTTGAAGTAGAGTTTTACTTTATAGATTACTTTTGCTTGAGCCATCTGGACAACATGATATTTTATACATCCTCACCTGGAAAACTTTAGGGGCACTGACCAGCGAGGCCAATGCGGATGAGAGTGTTGCAGCAAAGATGCCAGCTGTAATGAGAGGAGCAAATCCCGAAAACATCGCCATTACCTTAGGAGAAAGAAATGTGATAAATATTCATCTTGTGTTGTCAAACGTCACTCACAAACATTCAACCTGTTGGTATTTCAGGCCATGTACCACTTACATCACTGAAGCAGTGCTCTCTGCATGGTTTGCCCTTGGTGGGCTAGCCTTCTTGATTGGCAGGCAGCCTGGTGTGCGGTCACACAAGCCTGACCTGTCAATTAAACAGGCAGACCTGCCCCTTTTCCAAGTGACACAAATTGTATCACTGACCTGTCTAGTTTTACCCCTCCCACCAGCATCCCACTTCACAGGACAACAAAGTTGGAAGGTATGTCACGGATATATGTCCTATCACATGTGAGGCAAATCGAATCATTGAAAGTGTATTTTAAAAAGAGAGTTACTAAAATGCATAATATCCCCCTGTATGATACAAGAGTACATCAATTAGGATTAATGACCAGTGCTTTTCAAACCACAACTCAAAGAACGTCAGTGATCCAGGAATTAAATATTTTTTTTTTTCAATGAGGCTACATTCCAAACCAGGACCACTGCAGACAGCTGTAAAGGGAAACTATATTGCCAGGAAAACATAGTTGCTTTCCTGTCACTATAGCTCCTTATAGTGCCCCCCCTTCCCGCTCCGCTGGTGCAGAAGGGGTTAAAACCGCCTTCTGTCACTTACCTAAGACCAGCGCCGATGTCTCTCAGCGCTGGTTCAGGCTCCGCCTCTGCTCCTCCTGATTCGGCAGGGGAAACCTAAATCGCGCTCCCATTAGAACTTCCCCCATAGGAAAGTATGTATAATGCCTTTCTATGGGGTTTTGGGCGATGCTGGTTGTCCTCATGCATAGCATGTGGATGTCCAGCTTCACTTAGGCGACCAAAAGGTGACCCAATGACCTGGAAGTCCCTCTAGTGGTTGTCTAGAGGTGGAGTTAACCAACAAAGGTAATTATTACAGTTTCTTAAAAGCTACAGTAAATTCCTTTGCAGGGTTAAGGGACCTGGGACACTTCACCATTTAACTAGAACTGCTTTCCTATTTCTTTGTCTGATAATTTGAAAATCAACCACATAGACTGGTAACAACCTATCACAAAAAATGAACACAAGAAAAAGGCATTCAGGGTTATTAAGTAAAGTGAGAATTGTTGGGAATTCAAGTTGAATTTTAAATTTAAGGCCAAAATAGCTCAACAGGGAAAAAAAAACTTCAAGCCAACTCTGCTTTGAGTTCAGCTACTTTGGCCTTAAATTTTAAATTCACTTTGAATTATGAAAAATTCTCACTTAAATAAATAAAACTGAGCGAGTGATAATAATAATTAATAATAGATAATAATTAATAATAGATAACTGATAACTTCTGACTCGCTGTTGTGGACTGTCTGCAAAAACATAAAGCTGCCTGTTAACTGGTGCAAACACATTTACCTGGAAGTTGTTTAGCAGTCCATATTCACAGGGGGTGTCTCTGCAAGATGTAAAATTAAATCCAAGGGTGCACGCAGCAGTCTTGCATTCATCACCCCAGGCAGAAATGGCCTCTGTCACATTGCCTGTAGCTTCCCTGACAATGCAAGCAGCTTGTATACAAAGAGAGAAGGGAGGGGAAAGGTGATATGCGCATGCACACATACATATACAGTATACATGCACACTTTTGAAACCCTCTGTATCCACACACAAAATAGAAGGCAACAATCAAAAATAAATATAAAGACTGCCTCACAAGACCATAAATAGAACCCCAATATGTAACAGCAAAGTTTCCTGGTGGGTATAGTCTTCAATTAGTTATTTTATTTTATGTAATGACCTTGAATCGAATGATCCTGCATAGAAATATGAATTTTAAAAAAAACACAAGAAAAATACTAATAGTGAAGCATGTACCAATGGTATTTTCCCCCTGTTTTCTTTCAGTTTCATATTCTGTGAAAGATAGAAACATAGAATGTGACGGCAGATAAGAACCATTCGGCCCATCTAGTCTGCCCAATTTTCTAAAAACTTTCATTAGTCCGTGGCCATATCTTATAGTTAGGATAGCCTTATGCCTATCCCACGCATGCTTAAACTCCTTTACTGTGTTAACCTCTACCACTTCAGCTGGAAGGCTATTCCATGCATCCACTACCCTCTCAGTAAAGTAATACTTCCTGATATTATTTTTAAACCTTTGTCCCTCTAATTTAAGACTATGTCCTCTTGTTGTGGTAGTTTTTCTTCTTTTAAATATAGTCTCCTCCTTTACTGTGTTGATTCCCTTTATATATTTAAATGTTTCTATCATATTCCCCCTGTCTCTTCTTTCCTCCAGATGAAAGATCATGCGATTCAGGGATATTACATTCCACCAGGAATCTTTGGCGCTACATGTTGTGGTTCCGTTTACAGTCTTGTGGCGCAGCCTTTATATTCGTTTTATCAATCCATTGAAACTACTCGGCATCCTGTGTCTGCTTAAGCACTCTTTAAATGTATTAAAAAAATATATATTGGATTTGAATTTAAAAAATATGGCATTTGGAAGTACATTACAAAAAGAGTAGCAAATACCTTTGTACCCCTCTTTTTTAAACTTCATTTAATTGGACCCCTCTAAAAAAAATTATGGGGATTAAAGTTTATAGTACTAGTTAAGCCAAAAGCAACCCTTGAGCTTGCTTTGTCCTCGCTAGAGTCATCTCATATGGATTTTATTAACTGCTGACTTATGGATGTTTAGGAGCTAAGGATTGCGCCAATGTTGCTGGACAACCGATACCTACACTGGGTGGAATCCCATCAACCACTATTTATTGGCCAAAGGAGTTATTTATGCTAGGAAGAGAATAAAGGTACTGTCTGCCATTGGGTTAATCAAAGAGAACCAGACAGAAAAGGTGGTAAAAAAATAAATACATGAAAATTACTTTGTGAACTTTTCCAGTTATAGTGACCCACCCATAGGCCAGACATTTATCATATTCCTATCTTATTTATGGTGGTGACCTAGTGTGGAATCATGACAGCTTTGCCCCAGGTAGCATGGCTCTGCATTATATGGATATAGTGATATCATTTTTTTCACATGATGTGAATTCCCTTTTGGGTACTTATATTTTGCATATACATTAAAATAAAGATTACAAATTAAAAAAAAAAAACCTGCATCATTTTACTGGAGTTCTCTATAGCACTAGAATTTTCTTTCAATTCCTGTATATGTGTGTAATAATAAATTTTACACCAAGTCAAATGACAAGCAGAACGTGCCCCTGAATATGGTTAATGGATACCTGAAACGACGGCCACTGCCAGGTAAGTAGTGGTGGATATAAGAATTGCCAGTAATGTTCCTTTCGGTATAGAAGACTGCGGATCCTAAAAAGAACTTTGGGATAAGTATCTTATTGCATTGAGCAGTAGATAAATGATACAATGGATACATGGGAAGGTTGGATGAGAGATTGGCTGGTGATTAAAGATGTGATTTAAAAAGGTAATTTATAATAACGATCAAGTAAAAAAAGTTCAACGATTTACAGAGGGTTTTTTTTGCAAAGAGCAAACAGGACATATCTGAGAGAGAATCTATAAAACAGGGGTTTGAACAAGGATTTTTAAAGCATTGATATTATCTAATAAAATGGGGAATTTGGAACAACAAACTTTGGAGAAGTAATAATAGAGGTGATACATATTATAAAATGCCAGTAGTTTCTAGTCACCTCGAGGTCGCCTGATATGTTTGCTCCGGCCAGGATTCCAGTGGCCGCTGGAAAGAATATCGAAAATATAGAGAAGAAGCTTTCACCATCACGGTAATCAGGCCCCCAATTTTCAAGGAAGATAGCAGCTGTGGGAAAAAAGGGAACATGTCAAATTATTAAGAATGTTTAACACACGAATATACTAGTATCAGTTTATACATAATTCAGAAGATGCATAACTTAATTAACAAATGTTGCCAGTTTATATACATTGTCAAGATTGAATTAAGAACTATTGCAAAGATTGTGCATATTTTATAGACCTAACCACTCTGAACCATATGTCATGGACCTAGCCACTCTTAACCATATGTCATGGACCTAACCACTCTGAACCATATGTCATGGACCTAACCATGATGAAACATATGTCATGGATCTAACCACTTTTAACCATATGTCATGGACCTAACCACTCTGAACCATATGTCATGGACCTAGCCACTCCTAACCATTTGTCATGGATCTAACCACTCTTAACCATATGTCATGGACCTAGCCAATCTGAACCATATGTCATGGATCTAACCAATCTTAACCATATGTCATGGATCTAACCACTCTGAACCATATGTCATGGATCTAACCACTCTTAACCATATGTCATGGATCTAACCACTATGAACCATATGTCATGGACCTAACCACTATTAACCATATGTCATGGACCTAACCACTCTTAACCATATGTCATGGACCTAACCACTCTGAACCATATGTCATGGACCTAGCCACTCCTAACCATATGTCATGGATCTAACCACTCTTAACCATATGTCATGGACCTAACCACTATTAACCATATGTCATAGATCAAGCCCCTGACCGAAACCTAACCATTCCTTCCCACCAACGCTACTTTTCTCCTTCTATAGTTAGGAAATTGTTCAATTAATGTTGTATATAAAAAAAGTATAAAAAATAACCTTTGAGTACATGTTTTTTCTATATCTTGCAATATTTTCAAGAAAAAAACATAATATACTTTAAAATATTCCTAAAAGCTAATATTTAGTTTCCAAAACTGTGGAAAATAACTCTTACTTGACATATGTTTTCAAACCTCCCCAGTATTCTGCAATTGATTATATCTGTAACCCAGAGAGATATAGCTTATGTTTGATAATAAAGGAATACATGGCTAAATAAAATGCCCATAGTTAGGTACTTGAATTGGAACAGGGAATGATACATTAGAGGATCAGGGGATTGATTTTCCCCAAGAACAGTGATTTTTGGTCACTGGGTCGGATCACAAAATTGGGTCTCTATGACATTGAAATAGGTCTTCATCAGGTGGAACAGGCACACAATGTTCTAATGGAGGTTTTTTGGCCGAATTGATTTTGAAGTGTATTTTATGACAGTTGAAAATGGATCAATTGGCTTTTTTAAAAACTGAAGAAAGGCTCGCTAAGCTAAAGCAATTTAGATCCCTTTCATAAAAGGTTAAGGAACCCTAACCTAGACCAACTGTTGTACATCATCTCTCTATCACCAACCTATGGCATAATTGAGAAGCAGATATTGTTGAACTATCTGTTCTTTCGTAACATCTCACAGGCCTTAGGGAATAAACAGAGGGGTCAACGTGGCTGGATACCATCTAGGTTTCTAGATATCTTGAATGTCCCAAAAATTATTACATTATTCTTTCTTATATATACTTTTCTGTATTTGAAACTATCTGTTTCTGAAAGATACTCATGGATTCTAACACCCTAGTTTCAAATATGCATCAACAACTAACATACATAGTCTCTTAATTAAGCAGCTTAGTCTGTATTATAATTACCATAATTATATATTAAGTTACTTTACAATAGTTCCTGCATTAAAGTGCAGGTGTCTTACAAAGCCCTGATCCAGATAGTACGTGACGATCATAACTGACCTTCCTGTTTGTCTCTGTGGTTAATTGCATAAAATAATTAGTTCATTTTTTTTTCTCAGGAAAGTAAAAGAATAGCAATTTGGATTAAGACTGTATGTTATGTAAATTGCTAAACGTCAAAGATAGAAATGCCTGAATGACTGGGAGAGAAATACAAAAAGCCACATTAGCCAGTGGAAATTAATACACATTTTTTAAAAGTTGTTAAATAATTTTAATACGAGACATGCTTTATATAACATTATAGGGCTTGTTTATTAATTTACAAGCAGGACTAAGTTGATATTGGGCATGTTTGGACCTGGTATTTAATTACTTTTTAAGCAGGTAACTACTTCATCTGGTATATGTACAGATCCCCACATCTACATATGGATGGATAATGTGTACACATCTGGCATTTGGTTACTAGACTTTGTGATGGGGCTTGCCAATTTGGAATTTAAGTGGATTTCTGCAATTGCATTTTAATGTGCAAAACGTTCAATTAGGAGTTTGTTGGTTTTATTTCCTTAGGAACATCAGCAGTGCAGATTGGCGATCCGGTATACTAATTAATTGTGATGTAATGACGTTCCAAGCTGATCTTTACTAAACTTCTCACTCTTACCCAAGGGACTTTGTATTGTGTGTTGGACAGATCCAGGCAGTTTTGACTTGTGGAAATCCAGAAGGAGATTACATTTATACCACAGAAAATTCAGAACAAGAAACTGGAAGATAGAGATGTAGCAAACGAAGAAGCATAGAGGGCTATCTTCATGTCTGGAACTTGAGACTCAATGACCTGGCAATGGTCTGCAGAAAATGAATGGGCTTTATACTTGGCTATAGAGATAATAGTATTCAGGTGTCTGCTAAAATCTTTGAAGTCTGCATGCATAATGGTTATGACCAGTCTTGGCTTCGAAAACTGTTTTAACATACAGTAGAAAGCCAGACTCCCAATTACATCATGATGATATCGTACAATAAATTTCTAAATTATAGCACATCCCAATAGACAATGATTATTGAATCTGACCATTTTAGATTTGTTTTAGCTCAATGGATATGCTGTAATTTTCTCATTTGGCCCATGTCCCTCATGAAGTAAGTTGGGTGTTAACACCATTCTTGGTATTTATGAAGTTAGATACCTCTGTAGTTAAAGAATCCTTTAGACTTCTTTTCCTCATCAGCTGGAATATAGGTACCAATAAAAAAGTTTGCCAAAGCTGCGACCAGTATCCCAAGCAAGGTGATCTGTGCCTAAAATATAGAAGGAAAAATTAGGTGCCACAATTAGTTGGCCTTGATGTCAGCGCCAGATTTGCCCTCCTTGCTTTTACCCATTTGCCCCGCTTGCTGCCCTGAGGCTGTGGCCTCATTGGCCTTTTGGGAAATCGGGCCTGGACCTTCTCATGTGACATTCCATGAGTTAGTAAATGGTTCAGCTGGTAACACTTAACTGTCTGCGCTCTACAGTCTCTGTGGTGCTGGATCGGAAATATCCTATCTTCCTGTCTTTCTTCACCTCCTTTCTCTCTATTACTATGTAGCCATTTTGCTTTTGAGATGTAACTAATTTTTGTTCTTGTTTAATTAAATAAGTCTGTTCCTGATTAAGCAAACCATTGACTAAAGATTTTAACTAGTTAGCTTCATATGTGTGCCCCTCTCTGACTTCTACATACTGCAGCTGTGCTAATACAACTCTGCAGAGAGTCTAAAACAGGCAAGGTTCCCCCTCCCTACGCCTCACCCGTATCATAAGCGAAACTCCCCATAGTTGCTCCGGACCCTTCTCCACAAAATGCGAAAAGGGGGACTTCCGCGCAACAAAGTAAGTACCTAACAGCGGTCTAATTTATGGTGTCCAATAGGGAATTTTACATAGAAAAAGGACACCCCATCAAAAAAGGTTAGAGTAACTATTTAAAATATTAACCACTTGACAGCTCTTCCCAAAGATCTTTAAATTTGGAAATTGCTATTGCCCAATTGTTTTTATGCAAACTATAATTTGCAAAGAATTAAATGTATCCTTTAATGACTGAAAAGTATTCAACGACAGCAAGAACATTTAAAGGAACCATCCTTTGTCACCATCTTGGATGTATTTGTTATTTTATTAATTATCTTTGACATCGTTACTTCAGACTTTTTATTCATACACATGGTTTTATTTTAATATACTTTAAACCATTCATGTGTATCTTAACCCCTTAAGGACACGACATGTGTGACATGTCATGATTCCCTTTTATTCCAGAAGTTTGGTCCTTAAGAGGTTAAGGTCACCTCCTTCACATTTTCTTGTTCCTAGCTAGAAAACGTTGACCCTTTGGCCACATTAGTCCATTCTTTGTTAGTTGCAGCATACATTTACAGATCATACCTTTGTTTCCCACTCCATGCCAGCTGTAGAGATTCCCAAAAGCAGCACCACTGTGACAGAACCAATGATTCTAATGTCATGAGTTCTTTCTATTATAGTAATATCATGTTCCTTTAGGAAGACAAAGATGGACAATGATCATCACAAGTCAAGCAGGACTAGATCCTACAGACCCATACAGACATAAACACAATGACCAAATCTCAGGAGCCTCTGACAATCTGGCTACCAAGCAAACAATGTAATTGACATTTTAACAATACTATAAAGAACTAAAGCTACTTTTTACCGAGCAACTTGCATGGGGATACAATTTATTACTCTTGAAAACATAAAATAGGATATGCATAATTTTATGCCAACATAGCTCTAATTTATGACAAAGTAGTAAAGACTTAGTTAGCGTTTAAGATTAGTTTTTTTGTGGTTGTTTTTTTAATGAAGCTTTCTGATTAAAAGAGGGATATGGCAACTTAGCTAAGTATTGATTGATCAAGTTCAGGTCCAAAGTAAATGTGGGTGCGGGGCATAAGAGAGGAACAAGAGTCCAACAATATGCTCAGTGCACAAATGCTGATCAAATTGAGTAACAAGTACAGATGTTGCATGAGTAATACATGTCAAATAATGAGAAATTCGCTAATGTTCTTGTCCAAAACTATTTACCAGCTCATGAATAGATTTTGTTAACGTTTCTACTCTTTTAAATCTCTGAATAAGTGTACTGTACTTGGGGAATAAAATAACTGAATTGCGTATCAATATGTTGTTGGTCTTTTTGCAAACCTTTAGCTTTGACCTGAGAACTGACACCAAGCTTGTGAGATAAAGATTTCGGCTTAATCCAAGCCTACAAAGCCAAACGAAAAGGGTAAATGAAATGAAAAATGCTAAATGGAGCCTGGATTATAGGTTGAATGGCACCTCCCACCTGGAACGGGAGATTGCAAACAAAATATAATTTACTGGCCTTGCAAGGACTGTCTCATGACGTATACAGTTTCTTTCCATTCTCCCCTTTATCGATGACTGAAAATTAAAGGGACACTATAGTCACCAGAACAACTACAGCTTAATGTAGTTGTTCTGGTGAGTATAATAGCTCCATTGGAGACGCTGAATTTTCCTCATAGAGATGCATTGATTCAAAGCATCCCTATGAGGAGGTCCTGATTGGCCATAACAGCATTTGGCACCACCCCCGGGTTTAGAGTGAAATGTACAGCTATATTTTTTTCTCATGGGGCATATAAGGGGTGAGGTTAAGACACATGGGAATTTTGCATACATAGGCATATAATAGACATTCTTATACCTTGGTGCCCAGAGTCTCCTTTTAAATTTGCCTTTTGATAGGGGGATTTTGCATACAACTATAGTTGAGAATTTATATATATTTAAAGGGACACTACAGTCACCAGAACAACTACAGTGTATTATATTTGTTCTGATGAGTATAATCATTCCCTTCAGGCTTTTTGCAGAGAAAATGCGGTGTTTACATTACAGCCTAGGGGTACCTCCACTGGTCACTCCTCAGATGGCTATTAGTGTTTGGCTTGTGCTGGCTCTGCCCCTGATCTGCCTCCTTGACAATCTCAGCCAATCCAGTGCTTTCCTATGGCAAAGCATTGTGAGTGGCTCGGATAATTACTTCTGGTGATGTCAGCCAAGCAGGCAGATCAAAGGCAGAGCCAGCAGCAGCAGACTTGAATAAAAGTTAGATTTTATTATATTTAGGGGGGAAATGGGAAACCAGGGGGGCTAGATGTTGGTTTTTACACTATAGGGTCAGGAATAAATTTTTGTGTTCCTGACCTTATAGTGTTCCTTTAAATAAACATGAAAAAGAAAGGTAATTCTACTACGAGCAAAAAATAAAAATAATTGATTATGAGAGTGTGTCCGTCAATATTATTGGGGGGGGGGGGTGGATTTACATGACTAGAAGCAAAGACTCAATAAAACTTACAGATAATAAGTCACTGACAGTCTCTGAAAATCCAACAACATACATTGCAACAGCCACTGCATTGGCAAAAGCAAATATCAGACCGATGGAACCTCCAAATTCTGGGCCAAGACTGCGAGAGATCAGGTAGTACGCCCCACCTTAGCAGAGAGGAATAAAGACTCATTATTAACAGCTGGCAAACCAAATCCATGTAGAATGACAGGCAAAACATCAAGAAAAATAGTGAGAGGCCGTGGAACAAAAGAAAGAGTCAAAAAGAGGTTAAAGGGACAGTCGATTGACACATTCTTTTTAATGCATTATATACCGTTGCAAGAAAAAGTATGTGAACCCTTTGGAATGATATGGATTTCTGCACAAATTGGTCATAAAATGTGATCTGATCATCATCTAAGTCACAACAATAGACAATCACAGTCTGCTTAAATTAATAACACACAAAGAATGAAATGTTGCCATGTTTTTATTGAACACACCATGTAAACATTCACAGTGCAGGTGGAAAAAGTATGTGAACCCCTAGACTAATGACATCTCCAAGAGCTAATTGGAGATGTCAGCCAACTGGAGTCCAATCAATGAGATGAGATTGGAGGTGTTGGTTACAGCTGCCCTGCCCTATAAAAAACACACACCAGTTCTAGGTTTGCTTTTCACAAGAATCATTGCCTGATGTGAATGATGCCTCGCACAAAAGAGCTCTCAGAAGACCTACGATTAAGAATTGTTGACTTGCATAGAGCTGGAAAGGGTTATAAAAGTATCTCCAAAAGCCTTGCTGTTCATCAGTCCACGGTAAGACAAATTGTCTATAAATGGAGTAAGTTCAGCACTGCTGCTACTCTCCCTAGGAGTGGCCGTCCTGTAAAGACGACTGCAAGAGCACAGTGCAGACTGCTCAATAAGGTGAAGAAGAATCCTAGAGTGTCAGCTAAAGACTTACAAAAGTCACTGGCAAATGCTAACATCCCTGTTAGCGAATCTACAATATGTAAAACACTAAACAAGAATGGATTTCATGGGAGGATACCACAGAGGAAGCCACTGCTGTCCAAACAAAACATTGCTGCACGCTTACAGTTTGCACAAGAGCACCTGGATGTTCCACAGCAGTACTGGCAAAATATTCTGTGGACAGATGAAACCAAAGTTGAGTTGTTTGGAAGAAACACACAACACTATGTGTGGTGAAAAAAAGGCACAGCACACCAACATCAAAACCTCATCCCAACTGGGAAGTATGGTGGTGGGGGCATCATGGTTTGGGGCTGCTTTGCTGCGTCAGGGCCTGGACGGATTGCTATCATCGAAGGAAAAATGAATTCCCAAATTTATCAAGACATTTTGCAGGAGAACTTAAGGCCATCTGTCTACCAGCTGAAGCAATAGGACAATGTTGCAATAGGACAATGACCCAAAGCATAGAAGTAAATCAACAACAGAATGCCTTAAACAGAAGAAAATACGCCTTCTGAAGAGGCCCAGTCAGAGTCCTGACCTCAACCTGATTGAGATGCTGTGGCATGACTTCAAGAAAGCAATTCACACCAGACATCCCAAGAATATAGCTGAACTGAAACAGTTCTGTAAAGAGGAATGGCCAAGAATTACTCCTGACCGTTGTGCACGTCTGATCTGCAACTACAGGAAACGTTTGGTTGAAGTTATTGCTGCCAAAGGAGGTTCAACCAGTTATTAAATCCAAGGGTTCACATACTTTTTCCACCTGCACTATGAATGTTTACATGGTGTGTTCAATAAAAACATGGCAACATTTCATTCTTTGTGTGTTATTAGTTTAAGCAGAGTGTGATTGTCTATTGTTGTAACTTAGATGATGATCAGATCACATTTTATGACCAATTTGTGCAGAAATCCATAGCATTCCAAAGGGTTCACATACTTTTTCTTGCAACTGTAAATAATCCATTATAATAAATGCATTAGCAAACTCTAGCTTGCTATCAGTCTGACAAAATGTGGCCATCTGCACAGAAGAGGATGGACATCGCTGCACTAGAATGAATTATATAAGTAATCAGATTGAGTAACACAGGGATTTCCTGAAATAAATTATATGGAGTATTGAAATCATAATAGTGTAAACCATACTAGTAGAAATTGCAATAAGGAGAAATTGGAGCATTTACAGAGTTGACTGAGGTAACAGCAAGTGCTGCATGAGAAGCTAAGCCAGGATAACTAAACTACATGCAGCAACGAGGCCAGAATGGGGGATTTAGAGAGCAGATTATAAAAACAGGGGTTTGAAATTACCTCCTCGGACAAAGCCGTTAGTCGCGATCGCAGATGTGGACAAACCTGTTATAACTGTTACCATTGTGGCCATTAAGATAATCACAACTGTGCAGCCTGTAGCAAAGAACGATAGGAAGTGTAGATCAGAAAGATGCTTGCTGTTAGAGGAAAGATACTTTTACAACACCTTTAATTACCCTATAAAAACAGTGTAATGAAATATAAAGTATAAAACACTGACTGTACAGAAGAAAACATACTGATGCATGACATGTCTCCAACTATCGCTGATAAGGAGGTAAAAAGAAAACTAACATGCTAGACACATCTTCTTCCTATAAGCAGGTGTGTAGCTAGTATACAAATATATCTGGGGCATGACATCAAAGTAAAACATGATCATCGCCCCCAAAAGGGGTCAAGTCGGACCTTTCATATATCTATGACACCCTATCTTGCAGGCTATACCATAGACCCTTAAGATTCCACCCCAACTGGCGTGGCCACCGGATAAAGCTTGAAATATCTTACTGTTCCGCTGCAAAATTATAATCAATAAATACCCATTGTCCCTATTCCTACCCCTGGGTCTCTACTTTCACCTCCTCACCTCAGTGTCCTGATTTCACCCCACACCTTAAAGGCACACTCTTCCCATCTCCCCATTCCAATGTCACCCTCCACGCAGTACCCCCACTTCCGCTATTTCACCATTGCAAATGCAGGCACATGTCTACATACATATCGACACATGTATACACTCAGTGATACATGTACACACTCGGACACACAGTAAGAAAATTAGCAGTGGAAGTGAAAGTTAATGAATCTCTTTGATTAGTTTAGTAACGCCCCACCTTCACTGCATTAAAATTAACAGGTAGGTCATGTGGGGTGTTTTCTGATCTCTGAACCCACATTGCTTCCTGAAATCCTCATCAGCCATACCTTGCAACATTTCAAATGGTCAAAGAGGGATACTTTAAGGGTCAGAGTGCGGTGTGGCCATGGGGTGGGCTGTTCTGAGACATTTTACTGATAAAATGTAATTAAAAACAAGAATATGGTATCTTATTTGCACAGACTGATTTCTAAACACATAGCTATTTAAATAAGAAGATACTCCACCTTATATTGTATGTATCTTGATTTCTAAACATATTTATTGCAGTTTAAAGAAACATTATTGTGAGTATTATTGCTGTGGGGCTCTGTAATTCGCTCAGACACAACAACGATATGGAGCTCCTAGAAAAAGAGGGATATTGGGATAGAGGGATTTGAGCCTAAGTGTGTAACTGCAAGTGTATGAACGTGTATTAGGGTGTATGAGTGTGTATATGTATAATATGTACAGCGCTGCAGACTATGCTGGCGCTTTATAAAACCCAGTAATAAATAAAAAATCCCAGTAATAAATAAAAAAATAGTGTGTATGTTATGGGGGTCTCCTCGGGTGGCCTCTTGATATATTGCTGCCAGTCACATAGACCTCTTTAAGGGGCATAGCGGTACAGATAGGCACTTCGTTAACTGGAAAGAAAATGACACACAAACCGACACAGTGGTAGGATGCTGATCAATATCTTCAAATTGTCAAACCAGACCACATGCTCCCTGCCAAGGCCCCTGTAGCAGCCCTGCAGGGCTTAAGGATGAAAGTCACTTCCTGCACAGGCCCAGAACCACATGTCCTGGGCATCAGGCGACAGGAATCCTAATTTCACACCTTTATAAATATAAATTCTAGCACATTGTTTATGACTATCATTACTTGAAATAAATTTTGCTTTTGATAAATACCATATTTGCCATACTTATTTTATCCTTTATCTTTCTTTTGGGATTTGAATAAAAAAATATATATATATAAAAACCGAATACATGATTTAGGTTGCTTCTCAAGAGCATTGATGGGACACTCGAAGTTTAAAAGCCAATGCATTTTATTGAGGTGATTTTGGTGCAGAGACCATTTTCCCTTTGTCTGATTATTATTATTTTATTATTTATATAGCGCCAGCAAATTCTGTAGCGTTGTACAATGGGTATACTAACAGACACGTAATTGTAACCAGACACATGGACGCACAGGAACAGAGGGGTTGAGGGCCTTGCTCAATGAGCTTACATGTTAGAGGAAGTGGGGTAAAGTGACACAGTGACTGAAGAAGTGTGTTTTCAAAGATTTTTTGAATGAGTGAAGACTGGGTCTGATAAATGTAAGCTTTGCCATTAATGAGAAACAGTAATTAATTTTACTTTTTCAGACAGCATGCCTCTAGTGGCTGTCAGTCAGACACTTCCCAGTGAAGATTTTCAATAATGAATAATGAAGGTGGTCCACAGTATTACAACCTTTTAGTACATTTCAGACATCACTAGTCATATTATGTTGTAACAGAAGTTATCACTCACCTAAACCAGCTTGACCTACAATCCAGGAAAGTCTCATGAACAACATAACACCCCAGATGTTCAACAAACATCTCACCTGTATAGAAATATGATAACATGTTTCACACTATACCTTTAAAATGTCATTGTGATATAAATTGCAGAAAACCGGTCATGAAGTTTTTGGGCACACCTCCCAACAGACCCGATATCTTCTGAACAGTCCCTATGTTTGAGTCCTGTCCCGCCAACCCAACTTTGTTCCCTGGTGTTGCGCTTTTGGGGACACCAGGAAACTGTCCCCAGAAATCATACAAACACTTTAATGCACAGTATTTGGAATTAATTATACGGTATTTTGTGTGGATATTGTTGTGGGTAAAGGGTACAAACAGAAGAGCTGGGGTTTAATAGAGCGGGTATAGAGTTTATAAATATAGGCTTATATAATACTCTAAGCATCTAAACAACATATCTAAATTTAATTAATCAAATAATAAGAATAAGAAACCAAACTGGTTCTATGTCTATATCTATTCGGCTTTTTGTTAGAAGAAGACTGGATATATATTAGATGTATAAATATAATGGGACAGCAGGTGTAAGAAGTGAAAGTCCTATAGTGAAATTTACTAAAGAAAGAATTGTCGGGAAATCAAAGTGAATTTCAAATTTAAGATCAAATGTGCCTAACTGGAAGCGTTCTCTATCAGCTATGATTTCAGTTGTGCTACTCTGGCCTTTTTTAGGCACCAAATCAACTTTAGCTTAATGAAACCGTTTTGGTGTATAGATCATGTCCCTGCAGTCTTACTGCTCAATTCTCTGAAATTTAGGCATTAAATCATTTTATTTATACATCCCTAATCACACCTCGCTGCATGTAAAAAGAGATCTAATGTTCAAATTTCCTTTATTGCAAATAATGTTTAATTTAGAATTTCTTACCTCCTGCTCTGTTAATATCTTTCTAGACCCTGCAGCAGCCTTCTGTGTGGGATTAAAGTTCAATTCACAGATCAGGATAAAAACTTATAAAGCAAGTTAAAGTCTGATTTTTTTTCATGTAAGCTATGTGAGTCACAGTCAGGGGAGGTGTCGATAGGACTTCATCAAATGAAAGAAAAGTGATTTAGCTATTAAATGTCAGATAATTGAGTAGTAACACTGCAGGGGCATGATCTATACACCAAAACTGCCTCATGAAAGGGACCCTATAGTGTCAGGAAAACCGCTATAGTGTCAGGAAAACACCTTCAGCTACTCACCCTTTTCCCCTGCCGGGCTCCCTTACCTTCCCCACCTCCCCCCCCCCCCTTGCCTGACGTCACCGGCGCTGATTGATTCAAAGTGTGCATAGGAAAGCTTTTTTCAATGCTTTCCTATGGACGTTCTGCGTGATTGAGGCATAATATGCCTCAATCATTGCCGATGCACCTCTAGTGGCTGTCCGGAAGACAGCCACTAGAGGCTGGCTTAACCCCAGATGTAAACATAGCAGTTTCTCATAAACTGCTATGTTTACATCAGGCAGGGTTAACCCTAGAGGGACCTGACACCCAGACCACTTCATTGAGCTGAAGTGGTCTGGGTGACTATAGTGTCCCTTTAAGCTAAAGTTGCTATGGTGCCTATAGTGTCCTTTTAAATTTGCAATTCACTTAGAATTCATTTTAGTAAATAAGCCTGTAAAACAGACTAATTGGAAAATATTTCCCATTTTACAAGCAATTTTTACAGCTATATTTATATAGTGGGTATCGCATTACAAGTCACTGTTAAGTGAAAATATCTCTCCATTAAATAATATATTAAGCGAAAATCAGGGTCTGTTTGTAAATGGGTGGGTGGTCTTATGACTTACAAATGAATATGAAACTGAGTGGCAATTAGTAGTATTGATAATTTACCAGAACTCCCTTAATCCAACCAAATTTAACGACTCCACTGGACTCCACCACTTGCAACACCAAATCATTCTCCGAAATGCTGACTCCATCGCCATTTGCAAAACCACCAAACGAATCCTAATGACGATAAACACTTGTTATAATACATAGAATCTCCAGTTAGCTGAATATAAACAGAAATCTGTACATAGTGAATAGTCAAAAAAACTAACACTCTGTACATTAAGCATTGTGCCAAGTGTATTATCCCAAATACCGACATTTCTGTGTTTCCTGGTGGTTACAGTTTGATATTCAAGACAAACAATACAGTTGTGTATTACAATGCTGGCATAGGACCATTAACATCTCAATTTAACCCTAGGTACTACCAGAGCAAGATTAACCGTAAGGAGACTTGGTGTCTGCCGATGGCACAGGACTTAGACAGGGGCCCTGAAACCATTGATTTGCTTCGCCCCAATTCACCATCCCTATGTGAAAAAGGATGGGGGGACCCAAAACCTCTCTGTGGGAACATTCAGCATCTCCTTGCAGAGCGTGGAGACACTGAACGTAGGTGCTGCACACTGTGCAGCACTAGACTAGGAAGCAACTCTAGTGGCTGTCTGACTGAGAGTTACTGATACTAGGTAGCATTGTAAAACACTTCCTTTTCTCTGGAAGTGCTTACATTAAAAAGCCTGCAAGGACTGACTATGGACACCAGAACCATTACATTAAGCTGTCGTTGTTCTGGTAACGAACTACAGTGTCCCTTTAAAGAATTATTATGACTTTAGGTTTAATGGAAAATCAGGTCTGTGACATACCTCTTTGTACCATCCAGTGGGTATTTGTGGTTCTCTAGGGGTTAAACCATACAGTATGTTAAATTGGGATTTTTACTGCTTGAAAAATTATGATGATAAATTAATACATAACAAAGGCACTCCCTTCACTGTCTATCTGGCTTTTACAGGAATAAATCAGGGTCCCCAGGGACAGTGTTATGAGGCTGAATCACGCATTAAGCTTGAAAGACTATTTCAGAGTCAGAATCTGGTGATTAGTGCGTCACAGAGAAGCACTATTTTAATGGGTATACGTTGTATTCTAACAATATATTTTATAAAACCTCTGTTCCGATGTGCATGGAATGTCCTAGCTGAGATTTCAACAGCTGTTTCAACTCACTGTTCCAGTCTCACTGTTCAATTCTCTGACATGTAGGAGTTAAATCATTTTGCTTATGTAGTCCTCGCTACATTTTCTGTGGATGTGACTTACACAGCCTCCATGCACACACACATTTCATTTTTACAGCACAGTACCTTCCAAGTGTCCCTCTTTAGGAGGGACAGTCTCTTTTTTGGGCCCTGATTCCTCTGCCTATCTTCCATCCTAGTTGCCATATTTTCTACTTGCTCTATATTGTTGGTGTGTCTGAGTGTATAACAGAGCTCCACAGCAATAATACTCAAAGTAATGTGTCTTTAAACTACAATAAATGTGTTTAGAAATCAGTCTGTGTAAAAAAGATACATTATTCTTCTAAATTGTATTTTAATTGTATGAATTGTTATTACCTTACCTAAAAATTACTCAAAATAGCCCAGTGTGTTTACTACAGAAGTTATCTTTTAATTAAAAACTTAAATCACACACACGAGGCTACTGCAGGCTCCAGAATATAATTAAATTACTTTATTTGTGCAGTCTTAGCAACATCTACCCTGACTGTAAATTACAAAGCCTCCTTACATATTTAGACCTATTTCTCAGCATCTCGGGATTTACATTATATGTCCATCTTACCCCCCTGCTTATAGCTGTGAAGTATACAGCATTCACAAATACTGCTCCCTGCCAGTAGCCTCCTGTGTAATATAATAGAATGATCTCACACAAACACTGAAGAGGAGCCTACAGACTCAGAAGCCTTAAGGAGCACAGAACCCTTAAGTAGCAACCAGTGTTTAATTATTTAATAATGCAATGTATATATGTTAAATAACAATTTTTTTTAAATTTTTAAAATTCTTTATTTTTGTTGTGCATGGATAAAAACAGTCAAATTATAGTCGCCACCGCAATGAGAATACAGACAATAATACATTTACATCAGGCAAATCTTATGTTTAATAACTATTTTAAGGTATGTTTTAGAGCTTGTAAATGTATTTGGGTATATTCTGTTATCTGAGGAAGTGTTGATGATTTTACATTATTCTCCCTGTATCCACAAGCCTTCTCTATGATACGCATTAGATTGGTAATTGGCAATTAACCAAGAAGTTTGTAAGGGGTTTAAAAAAAGGGGGGGGGGCAGGTCAGCTTAGTTGCAAAAGCAATTCTGCAGCTATAAAAGGATTTTAATCAGCAATATTTTAAAAACTAAGATTTATTTTTTTTGACTGCATTTTGCAACCTAGACATTCACTGTAATGAAGCAATCACTTATAAAAAATCTTTTAAAAATAATAATAATAATGTGAATTAATAAAAAAAAAATTTAAAAACCACACAAAAAAAAAGTTTTAGTGCTTCTCTTTTGCTGTAAGACATATTGTAGAACTTTTTACGGTGAATTTAATTTAACCAAGATATTGCTGGAATTTCTTAGATTATCAACAAAATAAAAATAGAGAAAATAAACCATATTAGTGAAAAAGACCACCTACGGAAAAATAAACAATAAAAAAAAAAACAATATAAAGAAAGAAAATACATTTCTTAGATTACCCTTCTTCTCATGAACTAAAGATATGACCAGAACATTGCAAAAGCAATGTGCGTGGCTCACCTCTGGCACTAGATTAAAAACATACCAAGAATGAAATATTACTCAGTATGTGGGAGACATAGAATTGTCTCCCACATACTGGGGTAATCTAGCAGCATGCATCGGCAAACACATGATGCTGGCATAGGGGTTCACATTTTCAGCAGACACAGGACTATGACTGGGGGACATATTTAAGCAGTGGTGGTATTGGAGCGTTGTAACTAGAATCTCTTGTGCCAGCATAAAAAATTTAAGTTTTATTATGATTTTTGTTAAATCAGACAAAGCCAGCATTGTTTGAATTGTCATATGTGTCGAATATATTATTTTACATAAGTAAGCCATACACCATGACAGTACGAAGTGCACTGTAGAGTTGTTTTGGTGCCAGGAGTCCCCAGGCAACATCCACCAGTAATCTGTCAAACCGTTGATGAACCGTTTAACGCTTACCTCTTTTCTTGGGCATCCTTCTGGTCTGAGTTGGTCTGGGTAATGCTTCCACATTACGGTTCATCAAATCAATTCAGACCGGAAAGGCTGAGATATATCCCTTTAATCAGCCACATACCACTTTCTACTGTTTTAATTAGGAAATGTATCTGCAGATATCAGTACTGTTAGCAGGTAGTATTGGTTAGGGTTAGTGTTAGAGTAGGGTTAGGTTTGGCTTAGTGTAGGGCTAGAGCTAGGGTATGGTAAGGGTTAATGCTGTGTTATGGATAGCTTAGAGTTAGGGGTAAGGTTAAGGTAGGTATACGGTTAGAGTTAGTGCAAGCATATGGTTAGGGTTAGTCTTAACTACCAAACATTAATTTAGATGCTAAACATATGAGCCATCTAACAATCAGGACTAATACATCAATCTGTTCTAAATTCTTTTTCTGTAGTTGCACTGAACGTGAAAAAATTATTGTAAGCAAAAATGCAAAACATTTGCTTTTTCTTTAAATGTTTTACTATTTTTAACATTTAATTTAATTTTGAGTTATGTATACATATAGGACATTAAAATAAAGTCCTTTAATATGTATGGGGGTACTTAAAGGAGCACTATAGGGTCAGGAACACAGACATGTATTCCTGACCCTATAGTGTTAAAATCACTATCTAGCCCCCTTGGCTCCCTTTGCCTCCCTAAAGATAGTAAAATCTTCCTTGTATTCAAGTCTGAAGCTGCTGCCTCTGCATGTGAAATTCCTCTGACCTCTGTCATCATCAGAAGTGGTAGCCTGATCCAATCACAATGCATCCCCATAGGATTGGCTGATACTGACAAAGGGGCCATTCAGGGGCAGAGCCAGCATGATTCAAACACAGCCCTGGCCAATCAGCATCTCCTCATAGTTCAGTGTCTGCATGTAGGGGGAGTAGACACTGAATGTTTGGATGCATTTTAGGCAGCCATGACCCAGGAAGGATCTCTAACAGCTATCTGAGGAGTGGCCAGTGAAGTTATCACTGGGCTGTAATGTAAACACTGCATTTTCTCTGAAAAGACAGTGTTTACAGCAAAAAGCCTGAACAAATTCAATAAGCTGTAGTTGTTCTGGTGACTATAGTGTCCCTTTAAGAGAAAACCTTAAATTTCGGTGGAAGAAACACATGTGCAAATTCTAGGTTTTGTTTTGGTTCAGAACTTGGACTACGTTCCTAAAGGGTTAAAAGTGTGGTGACCTGGGGTACAGGGCATAGTAAGTTTTACTTTATTTTACTTTTTCGGGACTGAAGCAGCCTCTCCAGGCTCCTGCAAAGTAAATCCAGTTAGTCATCTTCAGCTGCTAGTGCTTTACCTGTCAGGAGTCCACATCAGTGCTGTACTCTTGTGCATACTCAAGAGTAAAGCATTGAGGTCTATGGATTATCCTGCAAGACCATGGAAGCCACCATTGATAATGCATTTTTTTTCTCACAGCTGTCACTAGTGACCGCAAGGAAAAATTAGAGACTGGACAGCGGTAGCTGCCCCTTTTGTCAAGTTTCATCAAGCAAAGTAGTCTCATTTATTAATTTATTGCTCAAAAGACCCTGAGTTCTACATCTGTAAATCACATTACTGTGTGTAGGTCACTTTGCTTGTTTATGGGCTAAGTAGACATGAGAAGGGAGGTATGTCCATTTTTGTTTTAAGTGCTTAGTTAATAATTTATAGTGTAATTATGTACTTTGTATGTAATTATGCACTTTAATATTCAGAACCCAATCATTGGGGAGAACTATTTCTAAGTCGCTGAGATGAATTAGATCATTTTCAAGAAACAAAAATGAAACATTTAGACACAACTACAGTTTCCATTTACGGTTCCTAGTTATAGTTGAAGCTGATTTTTCCTTATTATTGATTAGATGGTTATATTTGGCAATTGAATCATATATGTATGTGACGGTCTTGTTATGTATGTTCTTCTTGTTAAAGTGGTCAGATCACACACACAAAACAAAATAATTATGTTAGCATTATTTTGACATTTGGATCAATAAAAGGATAGTTCACTACATAAAAGTTATACAGAGAATTTACTATTACTGCTTATACAGACCAAAAATATATAAATAAAAACTACACTATCGGCATAAAAAAACTAATTTTAGCTTAATTTAGCAGTTTTAGTGTAGAGATCAGTGGTTCCCAAACTTTTTAGGTTCAAGGCATGCTTAATATTTCAATATTTTTCCAAGGCACCCCAAGCAGGCCCGGACTGGCCATCGGGCATACCGGGCAAATGCCCGGTGGGCAGCGATGGCAGTGGAGATCACAGGATCTCCACTGTCGGCCCATGCAGAGACGGAGCTATCCGAGTGTCGGTCCGCTGTGTGCCTTCAAAGATCTCCCCCACCAGCCCCGAGGCACTAATATGAGGCCGCCGGCTGGGGAGGGAGGCAGGAGAGGACCCGGGGAGCTCTATCGCAGGGTTCCTCTTGCAAAGTCTGAGCAGTGCCACCGGGAATGTGGCACTGGTAGATTATTTAAAGAAACAATCCAGGCAAAATAACCACTACATTACGTTGTAGTGGTTATGGTGCCAATAGTCCCCTTTCCAGGGTAAGTAGTCAAACTGTTTAAGAACAGTTTGACAACTTACCTGGGGTCTGCCAGGATAGGGGCTGTAGTGTGTGTGTGTGTGTGAGGGGTGCAATATGTGTGTGAGGGGTGCAGTGTGCGTGTGTGTACAGGAGTGCAGTGTGCATACGGGGTGCAGTGCGCGTGTGTGAGAGATTCTGTGTGTGTGTATTGTGTTTGTGCAGGATGAAGTTTGTGTGTGAGGGGTGCAGTGTGTGTGTGTATGTGGGGCAGTTTGTGCATGAGGGGTACAGTTGGTGTGTGTGGGGTACAGTGTGTGTGTGTGTGTGGGGTTGCAGTGTATGTGGGGTACAGTGTGTGTATGGGGGGCAGTGTGTGTAAGGGGGAGTTATTGTGTAGTGTGGGGTCTGTGGGAGTAGGATGGCAAATAAATAAATACTTGATGTCACCAAGGAGGTGGATCGGGTGTAGGGCCAACGCCGACGAACCCTTGAGATGCTGGAAATAAGGTATGTTTTAACCTCTTCTAAGGCGGCTAAGGGGGGGGGGGATCAAGCCACCTAAATGGTGGGTTTAGCACTGTAGGATCAGGAATACATGTTTGTGTTCCTGGCCCTACAGTGTTTCTTTAAGCTAAAGTTGTTTTGGTGACTATAGTGTCCCTTTAATGTTGTGGCTGATCAGTATATATATATGAATGTACAAAATTAAGAAACATCACACTTTGGATTCTAGTCACTAAAGAGTAGAGAGCTGACAACCAACTAACTTTATTAACAAAACAATTAAGTTGGAATAAAATATCTACACTAAAAGTTGGGATTTTTAAAAAATTAATTTTGCCCTACCCGTTCCAAGACAGTTGTCAACTCAAAGCAGCTTACTAGTGAATGTACCTCACAAAAGCGCGATAAATAAACATTGAAAGTCAAGCAAGTTATATCTTTAATGTTATCCATTAAGAGTATAAATTACATTTATACTTCTTGATAGTTATGCCCTTAACTGCAGAATGTTTCAGTACATCAGCAGCTAGTTGTAGATATTTGTGGTAGAAAATTTAATTTTTTCCAAATCAGCTCGTTTATAGAGATGTTGCGAACCGTCCACGAACTTCTCGCGAACGGTTCGCCACGAACCGATCGTGGCGAACTCCGGTCAGCTGACACATCCCGGCCAATCTCCAGCAGACCCTCCCTCCCAGACCCTCCTACTTCCTGGACAGCATCCATGTTGAAGGCAGCTTCAACATTGATGCTGTCCAGGAGGTGGGAGGGTCTGGGAGGGAGGGTCTGCTGGAGATTGGCCGGGATGTGTCAGCTGACCGGAGTTCGCCACCGCGGCGAACCGTTCGCGAGAAGTTCGCGGACGGTTCGCGACATCTCTACTCGTTTAGTCTAAATTTCACAAACAAGATTTCAATTTTTGCTACAATTTGTAGTTTAGTGAATAAATCCCACAACCACAATATACCCCTTAATATTGCCACACAGATCATATGTAAAACAAATTAAATTTCCCACACTAGATTAAATAGATTAAATTTCCCACATTTCAGTTTTAATTGAGCTATAGAGGTGTGAGATCAACAAACATGTAGGGTTTTGACTAAATAGTGTAAATAGTGAATTTCACAATTCAGGGCAAAGTAGCCGAATGGGGGGAAAAAATCTCCAAGCCTATCTTTCAGTTCCACTATTGTAGCCTAAAATATGAAGTTAATTTTGAATTCTTAAAGGGACATTGCAGACCCCTTAAAGCTTTAACTTGCTGAAATGCTTTACGTGTCAAGAATGTGTCCTATATTTTTGCATTTTGCAAAAAGTGCAGATTTCAATAGAAATTGACACTTTTACAAATTAACCTGGTTTCAAGCAGATAACAGGTCCTGTCACTTCCTGGTTTGGTTAGCTCAGTGGAGCTAAACTCAAGAGGAAGCAACTGCCCGAGCACCTGCCTGTGATGGGACAGCTGCCGAAAGTATGGGCTAGTGAAGAAGGGAAGGGTTTGCAATGGCAGCAGACAAGAGAACTGCAGGTTTTGCAATTTTTTTTTAGATATAACTAGCATAAATTAAATGCAAGCAAGTTTATATTTGGGGTATATCTAATTAACGGTGATTTAAATTTGTATTTTTTATTGTTATTTGGGTAGTGGAATGTCACTTTAACAATTCACAATTGAATATCCCTATCAATATTAGAGCATTTATTGCATAAATACAGAGTTATTCGTTAAACTCCAAATTATAGAAAATTTAATTTGAATTGAAACACTGAAGCTAAAATATCTTATTTGGAAAAATCTTTCTACTCAGCTTTATACCCAGCTTAACTATTTTAACCTCACTTTTGGCGTTCAGATTTCATTTGCTATAATAAAAAGTTTAGTAATTAATCCTATATACTGTGGGCTCGGCTGCCAATTATAAGCCATGATCTTTATGCTCACCTTGTCCAGTTCATCATGCAGTTCTGCCAGGCTTGGCCTCCCTGGCTTCATAGCCCCAGAGGGCATGGTGTTTCTGTAATGATCTATACGTGGCACCGCATCCATGGTGTTATGACCAAAACTGCGCAGGGCCCCTGGCCCTAAGCTGCTTTCGCTGGGTGTTCCTCCTCCACTATCGCCGCTCAGAATACTCTCTGTACTCTGCACAAAATTTACTCTGAAACGACCTCTGGACTCTGCTCGACAGGCCATCTGGGCACGAGGGCTCATCATCGCCTGAGTTGGGGCTACCTGGCCTGGACCAGCGGTGGCGACCTGGGAAGCCATTGGGTCATCCTCTTGCAGTGTAGGCATCTTCTCCTTACCAGTCACCGTATCAGTAAAATCACTTCAACTAAAAAAAGCCTGTTAATTTATTTTTTTACCCACGCCACTGCTGTTCACCTCTTCAAAGAAACTTAAAACACCTTGGCATATTATAGGGAGATAAATATAGTTCTAACACTGAGACAAAGTTGCCACCTCCTTATCTAAAAGCTATTACAAAACTTTCTTTTTAACAGTTACTTCCTCTTTCGTCTTGCTTATTTTCCCCAATCCCTTTCACTGTCTTCCTGAAAACTTTTCATGAAAATTAACATTTATTCTGTTACTTTTTATACCAATCTCGTTCTCTAGTCTCAGTATAAGAAAGCCATAAACCTTTCTTGCCCCTCCCTTCACATGAAGCCTCATATGCCAAACTTAAAATTCAGTTTGTAGACTATGCCCTATACACACAGCCATTAACTATACACCTCCTGCTCAAAAAGTCTCCCCTCTCTCCTGTTAACCCTTTCCTTACGTTCCAACCCAAGATTCCTCCCGGTTGCTTCCTGCCAGTGGATGCTGTCCCTATTCATCCTGCAACATCAGCACCAATTCACAACCTAGCTCCGCCCAAAGCATCCCCCTCTGCCAATAGCAGCCCGGCCACGCTATTCTCAAGAGGCACGCCCTGTTGCCAAGGCAACTGATTGACAGGCAGGCTGACCACATATAAAGTTTCCTATTGAATCTTTCCCCTGCTTCACCACACTGGAGCCTTGCATGATGTGACGTTTTCGTTTAACACTTTCTCTGGCAGCCGGCATCGCTTGCAGGAAGAAAGTTGATGACTAAGAAGCCTTTGAAGGGACTAAAAATTCCGTAATGCTTTAGCAACCAGGAAGATTGTCCCATCTACCCCCTTAAAGGATAACTGACATCAAATTATCACTTCTCGGAGAGGGAAGTGATACAATGAGCAGCTCAAACAGCACGTAAAACGAGAAATGCTGAGAAGTGACCGAAACAGACAGAGAGAGAGAAAGACAATCACAGAACGTCTCTGACAGTGAAAGTGCTTGGACTGCACAGGGTCCTACTGCTACACAGCTTGTTCCCAGCCTCCCCGAGGTAGCAGGAACAGACTAACAATAAACATAAATAAAACAAATAACACAAATGATGTTTCAGAATGATGGGAGGTGTGGGGTGAGGACTGCGGGGAGAGAGAGCTGACACACACATTGACACGGCTGCCTGCGGCTGCTGGGAGATGCTGTGATTGCTCTGTGTGAACCTGCAAAATCAAGCAAGTTAGGTTGAACAAGTCAGCCAGATTAAAAAATCAACGTATATCACTTCTAAAAAATATAAATAAATCATTGTTTCATAAAATGTAATGTGCTTTTTCAAAAATGAGAAGTGAAAAATTTGATGACAGTTGTTCTTTAAGAAGATGCTTCAGCAGTTAACCATTTTGTGTCCAGGAGTTATGTCTGTAGGAACAGGTAGGCAGAGAGTGGGGCGTGGACCCGTGAAAGGTGCCCTCTGGTGGTTTAGGTTAGGTTTTTTTTATATTATTTATTTATTTAAGTTAATTTTAATACAGTGTAGGAGTCTCTTATTATTCTGAAATTCTATTCTCCATGGAAACATCAGTTCGTTTGCATTACTGACACTAATATATAAATACATATATATAGATTGTTATGAAGTGGTTATGGTGACAGGAGTTATTTTGTGCTGTTATACTTTAAAAAGTCAATCCATGCTCATGCAGTTTGACACATTTTAATTCTTTATATGTTATTTGCATGTATATAGCACCAACATATTCTGTAGCGCTGTACAATATTATTTAAGAGGGGGAGCTTTAACAATAAATGAGAGAATTACAAAAACTTACAGGCACAATAGGTTGAAGAGGACCCTACTCAAGCGGGCTTACAGTCTAGAGGAGGTAAGAATAAAACACAATTGGACAGGAGACAGCAATCGAATAAGGTGGGAGTGAGGGAGAGCAGGAGGAGAGAGCAAAGTGATGCCCTTTAGGAGAGAGCAAGGAACAGGTATGTGAGGTAGAGGTTACTCTGGGAGGCCATAAGCTTTCCTAAAGGGTTTTTCCTTGAAGGTTTTAAGACACTTCTTTAACAATTGAAGACTAGAGGAGAGTCTGATGGCGGTAGGCAGGCTATTTCCAAATGAAAAGAGCCACCGGCAAAAGATCCTGCAAACAAGATTTGGCTGTACGAGTATGAGCAGCAGACAGGGGAAGGTCATGGACAGAGTGGAGAGACACTTACCTGGATCTTGGCCCTTGCAGACCAAACCGCTTCATACAGATATCTATCTATATCTTTCTATCTATCTCTTTTTATCTATCTATTTATCTATATCTATCTATCTCTATATCTATCTATCTTTCATGGAAACGTAGAATGTGACGGCAGATATTCAAAATACCTTTAATTAGTCCCTGGCCTTATCTTATGGCTAGGATAGCCTTATGCCTATCCCACGCATGCTTAAACTCCTTCAGTGTGTTAACCTCTACCACTTCAGCTGGAAGGCTATTCCATGCATCCACCAGGGCCGCCACCAGAAATGTTGGGGCCCCTGACAAAGCACAAGGGAGCACTTTACAGATCTGCCTCTCTCTAACTCCCGCAAGACGTGGTGTGCGCGCTGCGCGGAGATTTGCCATGGTAACCCATGGCAACACTCTAACGGTCGCACGTCTCGCGGGAGTTACAGAGGAAGTCTCTCTAAAGTATCAATATCCTTCTGAAGATACGGTCTCCAGTACTGCGTACAATACTCCAAGTGAGGTCTCTCCAGTGTTCTGTACAATGGCATGAGCACTTCTCTCTTTCTACTGTTAATGCCTCTCCCAATACAACCAAGCATTCTGCTAGCATTTCCTGTTGCTCTACTACATTGCCTTTCTACCTTTAAGTCATCTGAAATAATTACCATATTTTCCGGCGTTTAAGACAACTTTTTAACCCAGGAAAATCTTCTCAAAAGTCGGGGGTCGTCTTATACGCCGGGTGTCGTCTTATAGGGCAGGCTTCCTATAAGGCGAACTAGGCAGCCGCCTAGGTTGCCATATAGGAGGGGGCGCCCTGCGCCCCCATCGCTGGCCCTTCTAATGCTGCAGCCGCCTGATAGCTCTATAGAGAGCCTCAGGCAGCTGCAGCACTGCCTCTCTCCTCACCTCCCCTTCCCTGTATAGCGTGGATGGCCGAGCTCCTCTTCCTCCTGTCAGTCCAGCCGGGTACCGCGCGGTACAGGAGATTCAGTTACCAGCTGTTCCCGGCTGGACTGAAAGGAAGTGAGAAATCAGTGTGCACTTCCTGTCAGTCCGGCCGTGAAAAGGAAACAGAATCTCCTGTTACCGCGCGGTACCCGGCTGGACTGACAGGAGGAAGAGGAGCTCAGTCACACACGCTACACAGGGAAGGGGAGGTGAGAAGAACATAAGGAGGGTTGGGGGGGAGTAAAAAGAACATAGGGAGGGGGAGTAAGAAGGACACGGGGGGGGAGTAGTAAGAAGAACATTCTGTATAGTGTATGCTCCATGCCACACGTCATGAGTGCACTTTTCACAATGCCAACAAGCTGGTATAGTGCATGCCACCCCAGTCTAAGTACAGTTTGCCCCATTTCGCCCAGCCTTGGTAGTGTTTGCCCCATGCGCCTCATAAATTCCCCAAATCCAGGTAGCATAGTCCAGCCAGGTTTAAATAGTCAAAGCAGAATAAAGGGTTAAGGATTGGCAGTATGAGCATATATCGCAATTAGCCTCCTGTGTGCTAGACCAGCAGGCATGGATTATATGCCCAAACAGCCTGGCACATTTCTGGGCTTTAAATGCTATTTCAGATTATAATTCTTTAATGTCTTGCTGTGTGGCTCTGTCTGCTCACTGTACATCATGGCTAATTTTTATTTGGTGTACGTTGGAAGAGGGGTAGTCTTATACAGTGAGTATATCCCAAACTCTATATTTTAACTGGAAAATTTGGGGGTCGTCTTATCCGCCCTGTCGTCTTATGCGCCAGAAAATACGGTACTCCTAAATCCCTATCCTCAGATGTTGAGGATAGTAGGGTATCAAATATTCTATACTCTGCCCTTGGGTTTTTACGTCCAAGATGCATTATCTTGCACTTATCCACATTAAATGTCAGTTGTCACAGCTCTGACCATTTTTCTAATTTATCTAAATCATTTGCCATTTGGCTTATCCCTCCTGGAACATCAAGCCTGTTACATATCTTCGTATCATCAGCAAAATGACATACCTTACCATCAAGGCCTTCTGCAATATCACTAATAAATATATTAAAGAGAATGGGTCCAAGTACAGATCCCTGAGATACCCCACTGGTAACTAGACCTTGTTTCGAATATACTCCGTTTACTACAACCCTCTGTTGCCTGTCATTTAGCCACTGCCTAACCCATTCAACAATATTGGAATCCAAACTTAAAGATTGCAGTTTATCCATAAGCCTTCTATATGGAACAATGTCAAAAGTCTTACTAAAATCTAGGTAAGCAATGTCTACTGTACCAGCCTGATCTATTATTTTAGTTACCCAATCAAAAAAATCAATAAGATTAGTTTGACATGATCTCCCTGAACTAAACCCATGTTGTCTCTGATCTTAAAATCCATGTGATTTTAGATGTTCAACAATCCTATCCTTTAACATGGTTTCAATCACTTTCCCCACTACTGAAGTAAGGTTTACTGGCCTATAGTTGCCCGACTCCTCCCTACTACCTCTCTTGTGCATGGGCACAACGTTCGCTAATTTCCAATTTTCTGGGACTACTCCTGTAAACAATGATTGGTTAAATAAATCTGTTAATGGTTTTGCTAGTACACCACTACGTTTTTTTTTAATAACTTTGGGTGTATTATATCAGGTCCCATTGACTTTTTTGTCTTTACTTTTGACAGTTGAAATGGAACCTCTTCCTCTGTAAACTCACATGTAATAAATGGCCCATTTGTCCTTTTTCTTAACTGAAGTTCCTCTTCTTCATTTTCATCTGTAAATACTGAACAAAAATATTCATTGAGGCAGTCAGCCAGACCTTTATCCTCTTCTACATACCTTCCTTCTTTTGTTTTTAATCTAACTAATCCTTGTTTTACTTTCCTTTTCTCATTTATGTATCTAAAAAATGTGGTATCCCCCTTTTTTTACTGACTGTGCTATTCTCTCTTCTGTGTGCGCTTTGGAGGCTCTTATAACTTGCTTAGCCTCTTTCTATCTCTCTCTATTTCTATCTCTCTCTCTATCCATCTATCTATCTATATCTTTATCTTTCTATCTATCTATTTATCTCTACCTATCTCTCTCACACTCTCTCTAACTCGCTCTCACACTCTCTCTTTCTTTTCTCTCTCAATCTTTCTCTCTCACTCTCTGTCTTGCTCCCGGTCTCTCCACTCTCACTGTCTCTCTCTCACTCTCTGTCTCTTTATCTCTGTCTCAGTCTCTCTCTCTCTCTCACTGTCTGTAGCGGAGTTCCCTGTACCCCTGGCTGGGTACCTCCACCAAGGACCGCTTCCTAGCTGGAACAGGGGACACTTCTGCCCACAGTCGCCTTGGCTTCACTGGGGCCCTGGAACTGCGCGTTCCTGGAGCCAAATGGGGAATCAGC